AGCTTCCTACTGCCTTAAGCCGCCTTGTTGGTTCCCTCAACCCTACACATCTCTGCAAATAGTCCCTTCATTAAATCATCTTCTAAATCCCAGCTATGGTACTTTCTATTTCCTGCTGGGACTCTGACTATTAGAGAGTTAGTGAGAGAGATCAGATAGTCCACTAAGACTCTGGCTGGGCAGGGATGGGAGAGAAGCCAGGAGGGGTCTGGCAGACTGGCAGACAACAGAAGGATCAAGGGAGTGGAGCTCCCTAGGAGTTGATGCTACAGGTGTGACAGCTGTGAGGGTCCATCAGTCCTGGAAGGCAGGCGCTGGGATCAGAGAGCAGGATACTGGATTTTGAAGACATAAGGACAGAACTGGGTTGTGATTAAAACCAGGTATTTTTAATTTGGGACTCAGAGAGTCCTATCTTAGAATCCTGGCTCTGCCACTTTACTAAATGTGTCACTCAGGCAAGCGACATTACCTGAGTAATGTATGAGTGTGTATCTTCATCTTTAAAGTGAGGATACTAATAGTGACCTTGCAGGTTGTGTGAGGTTGTGTTTTACACATGTAAGGCATTTGGCACAGTGCCTGGCATGTGGTGTAAGTACTTTAAAAATGTTTGCAATGTGTGCTACACTTCCGGGTTATGACTCAGTTGAAGGTGTGGTCATGGGAGTGGATGGCTGGAGTAGGATAAAGGTCACCAGAGATGTAGCAAAAAGAGAATGTGAGGACTGGAATTGTATTCAAGCAGAAGAGCTCCTGCTTTGCAAGCATAAAGCCCTGGCTTTAAACCCCAGTCCCACCAAAAAGAGAGAAAGAGAGAGAGAGAGAGAGAGAGAGAGAGAGAACACGTGAGGCTACATAATTGGAAAGATGGATATCCCGAGGCAGTTAAGTATCTCCATAGTACAGGTTGGAATGGAGAAGAAGGGTGGAATACCCTTGCCCACTCTATCAACTCACAGACCTCAGCCCCCTCACTTAAGAATGAGCAGAGGCTGAGCACTAGTGGTTCATGCCTGTAATCCTAGCTACTTGGAAGGCTGAGGTCAGGAAGATCAGGGTTCAAGAGCAGCCAGGGCAAACAGTTCCCAAGACTCCATCTCCGAAATAACCACAGCAAAATGGACTGGAGGTGTGGCTCAAGTGGTAGAGCACCTGCTTTGTGAGCACCTACTTCACAAGTGTGAAGCCCTGAATTCAAACCCCAGTCCCACCGAAAAAAGAAAAAAGAAAGAAAAGAATGAGCAGAAATTGGGCAGGTGTGGTGACACACACCTGTGACCCCAGCTACTTGGGAGGTGGAAATAGAAGGATGGAGATCCAAGGCCTGCCCAGGGCAAAAACTCAAGACCTTATCTGAAAAACAAACTCAAAAAAGAAGTGGGGGTAGAGGGGTGTCCCAAAAGATAAGTACCTGCCTAGCAGGTATGAAGTCCTGAGTTCAAGCCCCAGTACTGCCCCAAAAAAAGAGCCATGAGTCAGGAGGTTTAAGAGTTCAAGATCAGACTGGGGACTTGGCTCAAGTGTTAGAACACCTGCCTAGCAAGCAGGTGCTTGCTAGTACTTGAGTTCAAACCCAAGTACTGATTAAAAAAATGAATTTGAGGCCAGCTTGGGTTACACAGTGAGATGAAAGAGAGAGAGAGAGAGAAAAGAAAAAAAGGAGGAGGAGGAGGAGAAAGAGCAAGCAGGAATTAATCACTAAGGAGAAGAAAAATAAACCACAATAATATACTACAACACATTCACCACAAGGGCGAAATTAAAGCATCTGACTACACAGAGTACAGGTGAGAACAGGAATCAAAGAGAACTCTCATTCAATGTTGGTGGGAGAATACACTGGCACCACCACTTTAGAAAAATAGTTTCAGTATAGCAGACAGAAAAAAAGTCCCCTAAAAATGTCTAGACTTAATTCCTGGAATCTGCAAAATAATTTTGAGATGAGAAAATTATCCTGGATTATTTGGGTGCAGAATTTAAATGCAAGCACATGTATCCTTCTAGAGGCAGAGGAAGATTTGACATAGGTAGTAGAAGGCTATGTGACCACAGGGAGAGATTGGAATGATATAGCCACAAACTAAGAGATGCTGGCAGCTACCAGAAACTGGAACCACCAAGGAACAGGTTTTTCCACTAGAACCTCAGGAAGAAGTGTAGCTCTGTTGACACCTTGATTTCAGTCTAGGGAATACTGATTTTAGACTTATGGCCTCCAGAACTATGAGAGAAGACATTTCTGTTGTGTTAAGCCACCATGCTTGTGATAATTTGCTATTGCAGTTACAGGAAACAGTGCAGGCAGTATCTACTAAACCTGAGTGTACTCAAACCCATGTTCAGTAATTCTACTTCTAGATACAGATATAAATATATGCATATACATATTCTGATAGAAATGGATGCATGTGTTCACCAAAAAAAAACATGCACAAGAATGTTCACAGCACCATTATTCGCCACAGCTCTAAACTGGAAACAACCCAACCCAAACATCCATTGAATGCACAAACTAATTGTGGAATAGTCATAAAATGGAATAGCAAAATGAGTCAATTTCAAATAAGCACAACACAGAAGAATCTCACAAACACATGAATGAGCAAAAGAAATCACACAATGGTTCTACTTAAAAAGTTCAAAGGGATTAACTATATTACTAAGATATATAAAACTAGGAAAATATAAAAGTAGAAAGAAAAGGAATTAATTACTGTAAAAGTCAGGGTCATTTTTCCAGCTAGTGGAAGAGAAGTTGTGACCAGGAAGGAGCCCATGACAGAAAAGTTGCTGGGTTTTTGGGGTACTGGAAACTATTCTTAGGTATGGGGGACACAGGTGCTTTGTAACAACATTAACTGTTATGCTTGTCTTGCCTTTCTGAATGTTTTATTTCATAACTAAGGTGTATCAAAGTGGTTGGTGATATTAATTTTTAACAGAACAAACAGGCAGGTAATGTCCTGATCCCTCAAGCCCTGGGCAGTTCCTGCCTCTGCCACTTGCTCAGTCACAGCTCTGGTCCCTGGGCTGTGCCCTGCAGAGTCCCAATCTGGCTCCCACCAGAACAGGGGCCCTCCAAAGTCAGAGCCCAGGCTGGAGTCCCCTTGGGGTTTACAGTGGAGCCCAGGCTGGGCCTGGCACACACAGGCCTCCTGGAACACTTGCTGGCAAGACACTGGGCCTGCCTCATGTCACCTTATATTGTCACCGTGAAGTCTTCTCGCCAGTTCCTGTTCCCCACACAGAATGGTAGCTGATGACTGCCAACCACATGAGGTGGCTGGCTCTACTTTTCCACTTACCCTTCACTCTGTCCATTTGCCTGTCTACATCCCATTCAGGAATACTGAGGCTTTGGAAAGAACTGTTTCTGCCTGGAACACCCTCTCTAGGTTATTCTGTGGAACACTTCACTCTTCAAGAGGTGGCCCTAGGCTACGCTCCTCTGTGGAGCCATGGTCCACCTTCCCCAAAGCCCCACAGGCCCCTGGTTCCTGTAGCCTGTCCACGCCCTGTCCCACAGAATCCTGTTTCACGACTTCAACTTCTGAAGCTCTTTGCTCTCCTGGGCTGTCTTCATAGCCTGGGTTTGACCCACTACCGGGCCTCCAGCGTCTGCAGGTCACCATTGGCGTCTCCCACGCCCTGACAAGACCAGGCACAAGGATTCGAGAAGGTTCTGAGAGTGCTAGGCATTAATTCCCGCCACCGCGCACTGCGCCTGCGTGGCTTCCTTCCGGCTGGCAGGCGTGCACGTGCTGGCCCAGGAGTTGGGCGTGGCTTAAAATGCCGAGGCGGGCGGGGCCCTGAGGGTGGGCAGTGCCTGCGGAGAGGAGCCTAACCAGGGAGCGCAATAAGGCCCAGGTAAGGGGCAAGACCAGCCTCAGCACTTAGCCCAGTAGATGTGAGTCAGGCAGAGGGCAAGGCAAGTGCAGCTCCAATCCTGAGGCAGGGGTAAACTCAACCACAGAAGGGCTTCAAATCCTAGAAGGTTGTGGAAAGCAAGTCTATACTCTTCTCCTGCCAGAGACTCCAGGAGCAAGACCCCATCCTGGATGCCCTTGTTTAGGGTAGAAACACTCAACATTTCAATGTTCATCCCTCAGGCAAGTGACTTCCCTTCTCTGAGCCCACTTCCTATAAAAATGTGGATAAAACCCACACAGGGTGGCTGAGTATTAATAGACCTTGAGTAGACAGTTGAACTTAACTCCCTTCCAGAGACTACAGAAGCAGGGTGAGATCACACAGAAGCTGACTGTTTCAGACTTAGCTCCTGGACAGGACACAACTCCTGGGCCTGCCACTTCGTCCCTGTACATCAACACAGGTGAAGGATCCAGGACAGGCTCCAAGATGTGAGCAGGCACACCCCTTGCCCTAGCAAAGACCAGTCCTTGTGAATCCCTACCCCCAACTCAAGAGCCCTTGCTCCCATCCCCACCATGAAGGAAAACCTGGGTATTGTATATCGCAAAAGGAGCTCCTGAGCCTTTACCCAAGGGGAGAACGGTGGACCTGGCTGTCATAACCTCTGCTAAAACCACACAGCAGCGGGAAGAAGTGTTTGACTTCAGAAAGAGGAAGAACAGAGGTTAACAGAAGGTGAATATCTGGGTGAGATGGGTGGGAGTCATGTGGAGAGGAATACCAGGCAGAGAACTGCTGGTTGCCTATTTTGTGTCCACACCTTGGGGCTCCATCACCTTCTGGGTAGCCGGCTCACCTCACTGAACTAGTTAAAAATCCTGGGAGCCTCATCCCCCAAAACACATAGGAAGAAGGTTGGGAGTGTGTGACTCCTAGGCAGTATTTCCTTCTCTGACAAAAAAAAAAAGAGGCCCAAGTTGACAAGCCTATGGAAGAGGCTGGCAGATGACCCAGCATCCTGCCCAGCCTGTAGTCCTTACTCTGATCATCCCTACCCCCAGCCCATCAAGAAAGAGTCCTAGAGAGCCTCAGTGCCCGCCTACGCCCCCTTTACAGGGCAGTTTTATTGGTGCCATTTATAAAATGTCTTCCCATCAGTCCCTAGTCTTTGCCTCTCCTTTACAAGAAGGTGACTGGTTCTGGCCCTGGCCCCATGGACAACAGCAGATCTTGATCTGATGCTGCCACAAAACCCATGTATTAAGAAAGTCCCAAGTGCAAGTCTATGTCTGGCTCTGGGGAGCAGGGGGAAGGTGAAGAGTTGGATCTGTGTGTGGATGCCAGGCAGAGCTCTGTCTGGCTAGATGTGTGGGCAAGGTAAAGCAGGCCCCTTGGGTACCCCAGCTCCAGGGCCTACTAGTGTGCTGAAGCCCAGGTGGGGTGGTACAATAAGAGATCCTGAGAGAGAAGCCCTTAGGCCAAAGAAGTATGTGGAACAGGGGAAGGCAGGGCTGAAGGATGATTTCAGAGGCAGGTGTGTGGTGTGTGTGTGTGTGTGTGTGTGTGTGTGTTGTGGTGTGTGTGTGTGTGTGTGTGTGTGTGTGTGTGTGTGTGTGTGTGTGTGTGTGTATTTTCACACACATATGCACAGACAGCCTAGCGGTAGAGACTCAATGTGCATGGGACTTTGGTGAGTGTGTGACTCCACCTCCCACTTTAGGGAACTGAGGCCTGAGCCCCTGAAGCTGAGAGAGCACACTTAGTTGCTGGGTGGGGGAGTATGGGAAAGGAACTGGGCTGGAAGTGGTTTGGGCCTCAGAGCCCACATCCTGTAGCAGAGGCTGTCAAGGGGCCTGCCGTCCTGGCGCAGTCCTCAGAGCTGCTGAAGTAACAGTCCTCTAGGGGGTAGATGGTTGTCCTCCAGGGGAGAATACCAGGAGACTCGGAGGTGGGGTCAGTCCTACCAGATTCAGGATCAGGAAGCCTCTGTTGGGAACCGCCCCCCCTCCTCCTCCATCAGCAACAGGCGGCGCCGGCCAGCCTCATAGTCAGCCTCGTCCACACTGACCAGCAGGCGGACAGCCTCCCGGCCCACAGCCTCTCTCAGGGCATCAGTCAGGAACACGCCCCGAAGGGCCTGCAGCAGGGCGCCACTCAGGTAGTCACCCCAGAAGGCGTCCAGATAGGAGAGCTCTGAAAATTTGATGTCACACACCACAGAGCCCAAGTCCCTTGAACGCAGCACAGCAGTGGCTTGCCCAAACACATCTAGCTGCCGTGCCAGTGCCTGGGGTCTTCGGGATGCCACTCCCTGTTCCAAGGCTGGCCCATGCTCACAATACTCTGCTCGAACCCGTAGCCGGATGTCTGCAAGGGAGGAAGGAACTTGTCAATGGGTGCCACCACTCTGCCATCCTTCCCCTCACCGCCTCCTGTAGGTTCCTCCCTCTGCCCCATCCCTTCAAGCAGCCATACCCAATGACCATCAAGTCTTGACACCTATGTACTCAACTCAGTTCAGCCTCACTTGCTACCTTCCCCATTCCCAGCTTGTTTTCCCAAAGTACTTGGGTGCTTGTATCACCAGGTACTACTGTACTTATCACCTGACTCCCCCCACAAAGGGAGCTCCCTGGAGGAAGGGATCTTTTGTCTGTTTTGTTCACTTGTATAACCCAGGGGCACACACAAGTGCGTGTTATATATTTGTGAACTAAAGGATTTGCTTTTATGCAGCCATCCTGACATGGCCTCTGATACAGTGAGAGTTAAAGGTCAACCAAATTCCCCATCCTCCCAGCAAGCTCCAGGGAGCAAGTGGCCTGAGTGGGTCCAGCAGACACAAGCTGGAAGTGAACTGGCTCTTCTGGGGGTCAAATGCTTTTTCCACAGAAGCTTAGATGGTGAGTGGTAAGCCCAGAGTTGCTGTAGGCCACTGTGCAAAGACAATGTGAAAAAGATTCCTATTACCACATGGTCATGAAGGATCATCAGGATTGCACTAAACCTGGATTTTCAGCTACAATTAATTCCCATTTTTTGCTGAAACCTGTTTGAGTTGGGATTCTGTCATTTACATTCAACCTACGTCTGTTCAGATGAGGTGGCAGCTCTGCACAGGGGACAGGACAGGACTTCTGAGGTCATCCCTGCAAGCATTAATGCTTATTACCTCTCCTCTGGGCTGTCTGAATCCCCGCTGTGAAGTGGACCTGGCAACAGTGCCTCTACACACCCAGTACAAGATTGTCCAGAGGACTAGCTATGTGCTGGAAATAACAGTTAACACTTACAGAGCACTGGCTGACTGCCAGGCACTCCTCTGAGTGCTTGGATCACATGAACTCATCAAACCCAGAGCGGACCCTGGGAGACAGGCCTTACTATCAACCCAACTTACAGATGAGGAAATAGAGGCCAAGAGAAGTAACCTGCCCAAAGTCATACAGCACACAGTGCTCAATAGGCATTATTTAATCTCCTCTATACAAAAAGTCGACTTCTCTGTTAATGGAACCAACTCGAACCCAGAACCTTTAGGCAATGCTATGTGACCTGAGACAGGTCACACAACCTCTTCTGCTTAAACTGGCACAATCGCTGTTAGGGAAAGCTGTTAAGAGGATAAAAAAAGAGAGACCAACAGATGGAAAGGAGTAAGGTAGTGCCATGCCTGGTGCTCAATGGGTACTCCAAGAATGGCAGCAGTCAACAGCTGTGACATGCCAAGTGCTTGACACGGGGATACCACAGTCAGCCCTGCGGGGCAGAGGCCACCTTCGACAGATGAGGAAAGCGAAGCTGCAGAAGGAGAGGTCTCATGCCAAGGGCTCTTCACCTTTCATAGATGTGGAGACAAGACAACAGAAAGTAGAAGGCAGGTCCCCTGCATCTCTAGACAACTTCTCACCCCAACCACTTCCTCCTCCCACTCCAAACTTCCTCTTTTTGCCTCGAGGGGAACCCCATACTCTCTACTCAAGGCTAAAGGAAGCCTGCCCAGCCTCAGTCCCCATGCCCTCCCATGGCTCTTAGGCTCAGATCCCTCCATCTTGAGCACCAGATAAGTACTCTGGGCCCTTATCCTTGACTCCTGTAAGCATTGAGCTGTGCTCTCACACCACGGGTGAGGTTCTGGGGCTGGGAAGAACAGCACCTGCCCAAGGCCACACATGGCTGGGCACCAGCAGAGGCAGAGCCAGCTGGTGGAGTCCCACAGACCTGGAGGTGAGTCTCAGCTCTGCCACTCTCCGGCTGTGAGGCCTTGGGCATGTGACCTCACCTCTCTGAGCCTGTTTTCCCATCTGAAAAACATAAACAGACAAACAAGAAGTCCTTCCTGCTCAGTGGTCATGAGGATTAAATGAGCCAACTCATGCAAGTGCTGACTCGGGGCCTAGGAAACACAGAAGGCCCCAGAAACAGGAACTGTGATTTCAACACCCACCTCTCTACCCCCATTGTCACTGCCTAGGCCCTCACCTCTCTTGCCTGGGTCCCTAAACCAACCACCTCCTTCATCAGATACCCCAATTGCTGCTACATCCTGCCATACCCCACCCTCCAGCCACAACAAAGTGCTCCCGGTGTCAGCCTCACTCCCTTTACAGACTGGCCTGTCCGCCTCCTCTGCCCAGAACACCCCTACTCATCCATCAAGGCTCATTTGAGGGATCCCACTTCCTGCTCAGCTGATCCTCCCCCAACTTACCCTTTCTTCAGCATGGACGTTACTGGTCCCATATGGAAGTCATCTACCTACCCCTACAGAGTCCCCACCAAGTGGGGGTGTATGGAGGACAGGCCAGGGCAGACTACTTAAGTCTTGCTTAATCTCTCTCACTTAATGAGTATTTACTCAGTGTCAGGAACTCAAGGGTGACATGAGGGCCCTGGCACAGCTGGAACAGGGAGATGTGTTACTCAGAGTTAGGGAGCACTCCTCCATGCCAGGCCCTACCCACAGGCCTTTCCCTATCTTAGCCCACCTAATCCTCAGGGCACTTTCATTGCCCTTCTTACAGATAAGGAACTCCTTCACCAGAGAACAGTCCAACCTCTGATCTGGAGAAGACAGTCCCAGCACAAAGAGTGAGAGTATGGGAAGATCCACCAGGCAAGAGGAAAGGACAACTTTACCCAAATCCCCACTCTACTCTGGCCCTGAATCACAGATTTTCCAAGCAATCTCTCCTTGACCCCATCCCAAAATAACACCAGGTGACACATGGAATCTACTATGGGCTATTAGTACTTCATTCTTTGCATCCACTGACCCTTTGATCCTCCCCACAATCTTATGAGGTGATGCTATTAATTTGTTTTTGCAGATGCGGAAACTGAAGCACAGAGGTTGAGTCACCTGCCCAAGGCCAAGTACCTGGCTCCAGAGCTGGAGATCTTAACTACCCCATCCTGTTCACTGCTTCTCACACAAAGCATCCATAAGTACACAATTAAAAGACATCCTGAGGGTCAGGAGAGAAAATGATACAGACCAAGTTATAATTTAGATAGAAAAAAATCAAAGGTCCTCTCTAGGAAATGACATTTGAAGTGAAACGTAAGGAGGACACAAAGGTTTAGCCAAGAAATCAGGAGAGAAGGGAAGAATGGCCTTCCTGGAAGACAGAAGCACACTCACAAAGACATTCCGGGGGAAAATTAACTTGGGTAGTCACCGCCTGAGGGGCCAGCATAGCCAGAGCATGGTGGAAGGGAACTGGCAGCAGGGTGAGGGAATCTGGTTTCACCCAGCAGCACAGCAAGGGCTCCTCCACAAAACAAGTCTCCCTTGAGCTCTGCAGGGCTACAGTGAGGCTTGTACACAGCTGCACACATAGCACTGAGGCCGTGCCTGGCATGCAGGAAGGACAGGACAGTCTGACTCGGAGATGACTCCAGCTGTGGGGTGGAAGTGGCAGACTGGCAGGAAAAGGGCCAGCTATCTGCTGCTCAGGGTGGGAACATGGACTAGAGAGAAGTGGATGGACTCAGTGAGGGCTGAGGTGGCACAAGTACCCAGCACCTATGTGACCTGGGATGGGAGCTGGATGAACTGCCTCCATGTGGCAGCAATGGGGAAATGCTCCCATCTCTAGAGTGGGGGACTCTGTCTTGCTAGAGAGGAGAGCTGCTCATGCTTCCTGCACCCAGGTGCGCACTTGCCCCAGGGGGTCTCTCTTCTGGGACAGAGTGGGATGCAGAAGAGGAAGGACTTCCCAGGGTAATGGGGGGAGCAAGCCTTGTGCTGTGTGTCTGGGAGCCCTGAGATGAACCTCCCTCAGGTCTTCCCTTGGAGAGTTCCTGGATAGGTGGGGTGGGGTGGGGTCAAAGAGGATCTGTACTCCCCAGTGCTGGTAGGGAGTTTCCAGCCAAGGTGAAGAGAAGCAGCCAGAGTCCTTCCATGGAAACACCCTGCCACTGTCACAACCACATCACACCACACCAAGACCAGCACTCCTCTAGAAAATGGTGGGATCCTCTGCAGCCTCCTGACTCCACGCCTGCCTCACTCCAACCTTTTCCAGAGGCACTGTGTCAAACTTGAAGTTCTTCATCACCTCCTGAACTAATGAACAGAGGCAACAGAAGCCACCAACTTCAGAGAAAGATCAGCAGCCATGCCTACCACTGCTTGTGTCCTGGCAGAAGAACAAACACCCCACCACCTAGGAAGTGGGCCTGAAAAATCAAAACATCAAACCAGACTTGGGTTGAGACTCTCCAGACCCAGCTTCCTACTTCCAAGCACACAGGGGAACATGTCAAATCAGCCCTAATACAGGATGCAAACGACCAAATCCAGTCTTTGGGAAACGAGATGAGACAGCTGTTCTCAACAGATACATAAGACGAAAAAGCAAGATGGCAGGAAGCTTAGAGCTGCCAAAGCTTCAGAGAAGGCTTATTTATGAGATAACTGCAACTTTGAGTACTGATGACATATGTGACAGTAAGGACTTATGGTGAAGTATTTTGTTGTCATAATGTTTTAGAGTATTTTTCTCTTTCAGAGATACACAGTGGAACATCTACTCTTGAAATAATAAGATGGCAGGAATGGACCCCACAACAACACAGCTCATGAGATGAGACTGGCCACAGTGTTCTTGGAAATGACTCCGCTTCTGGGAGGAAGTGGCAGGATGATGCACAGCTTGGTGATGGAATAGACCTGGGGGCTGCTAAGCCAGTGATCTATTTTGGTATATTTTCCATAGGAAAAGTTGCAGTGGGGAGAAGCAAAGGTAACCCTGTCATTCACGTCCTCTCCAACTGCTTCCATAATTCAGAACACCTCAAAGCCCAGGCCAGCAGCTGCCAAGGCCCTGAAGATCTGCCCTCACTCCATCTCATCCCTCACCTCCTAACAATCTCTCCCTGCTCCTGCCACCCCATGACACCCCAAGCACACAAACACTCAGGACCTCACTCCTGCTGTCCCTTCAGTACTTCCCCTGGCATCTAAAATTTTTCACTTGGCTTTCTCCTTCTACCAGAAAGCAAGCTCAACAAGGACAGGGGTCTCCCAGCCCTGCTGTGCCTAGCACAGAATAAATGCTCTGTAAAAACATTTGGAACAAACCTGTTTCAACCTAGCCTTGCCCCTATGACTTAAGACTAGTGACTTCCTTTCCTGTGGCCTGTTTCCTCCTTTGCACAATGGGAAATATCACCCCTACCTCAATGGCTGTCTTGAGAATTTGAGGTCAGACAAGTAACACACTCACCACAGTGGCCAATGAGTAACAGGTACAGGTACAGATATCTGTGTAGCTCAGAGGTCCTGTGTCCAAACCCAGGGTCCCCAAATCCCCTTCTCATTGCTCTTAGGCACTTGGGAGTTTAGTCTACTTTGTCCCTCAATGGGGCTGGCTGGGGTCAACCCTACAAGTGTCACAGGTTTGGAGGAACAAGAATGACAGGGCTCTTCCTCAATCTAGTTAGGAGGTGCCTTGTTGCCTCATTTAAAGTGAGCCATCCCCATTTTTCAGAGGGGAAGACTGGGGCCCCATGAAGAGAGCCCCGCCCCAGCCCCACCCTAGCTGGTGAGTCAGCAGTCAGACCTGCTTACCCTGCTGTCAACTCCCAACTCCACCCTTGCTAACAACCTCCTGGCCTCAGGGAAGAGACCTGAAGCCTGGCTTGCCCTGTTCCTGTTGTCCTCCCCAAGGCAGTGACTCCCTCAATCACTCAGCCAGCCTGGTGGCTCTGGCAATTACTCTAACTAGGGTAACAGTCACCACCAGGAAGCCACCCCCTCCAGCTTGGAACTGTGTGAAGACAAGGGCTGGCTCTGTTGCTCTCCTGCCAGCACCCAGTACAGGTATCTGCAGCCTCATCTCTGAAGTGGGGGTAACACCCACTGCCTGGAACTCCTCAATGGGCACTAGAAAGGGCAGGGATGTGCATGCTTTGTCGGTGCAGAAGGCTCTGCAGCTGGAAGCACCCCCAGGCTGGGGTCTGCGGATTTAAAGCAGCCCCATCCATCTTCCCCTACCTAGTTCCACCCTAGCCTGCATGTCACCAGCATCTCCTCAGTCTACTGACCTCTGGCTTCCATAGAGGATATCCTGAACCCTTTCTCTGTACATCCGCCACTCCCTCTGTCATCACCCCACTGGAGACCACCACAGCTCCAGCCTAGTATTACTCAGTCCCAGCCCCTCTGCAGGAGTGCTTGCCCAGGTCCATCTGAGTGCAGGGCTCTGTCGAATCCCTGGCTTTGTGCTTCTTCAGAGCACTCACCACCAGCCGACACTATGTGACATGTTAGTGTATTTCAGGACTAGCTAATTGGCCCACTGTCGTGTAAACTCCTGGGGGTCAGTGACTTCCTTTACAGGTCCAACTTGGTGTCCTTGACACAGTGCCTAGTATGGAGATGGTGCTCAATAATAACTAGGTGGCAACTGCCAGTGGCTCACACCTGTAAGCTACTCGGGACGCAAAGATCAAGAGGACTGTGGTTCAAAGCCAGCCCAGGCAAATAGTCCTTGAGACTGTCTCTTAAAAATGCCCAATGCAAAACAGGGATGACAGAGTGGCTCATGTGGTAGAGTCTAGTAAGCATGACGTCCTGAGTTCAAACCCCTGTGCTGACATAAATAAACACATACATACATAAATACAATAACTAGGTAAAGTAACTGACAAATGAATACTTCAAGGACTCCTCCTATCCTCAGGACAAAGTCTAAACCTCCAGGGCCCTGACATTCCTCATCTCTTCTGCTCCTGACAGACTCAACCCTTACCACATCCTTCTGTGATCACTTTGTGTGTACTGGTCATTCTGCCCAAAGCACCCTCCAGCTCTTCTTCCAGTCTCCTCGAGCTTGTCCTAAAGGTACCATCTCCATAGAAAACCAGGCAGACAGAGGACTCCCCTGCACACCCCAGTGCCCTGGTGTCACACTGCTCATGGCACCTGTCACAACAGTCTGTTGCTCCCCTCCTGTGTTTCCTCTGCAGCCTGGAGGCTCTGGAGGTTCACGGTCCATATCTGATCCATTCTCTGTCCTCAGGTTTACCCAACTCAGAGAATGGAGTAACAAGATGGGGCTGGGGGTGTGCATGACTGTGTCCTCCCTATGGCACCAGGTGGAATGTCTCCAGGATAAAGACTGAGCATGAGAGTCCACAGCAGAGGCCCCCCTCAATCCAACCAAACCTGTCTGCAGTCAGTCCTATGTCCAAAATATTCATTTCCTTGGTCCACCTATTCTTGCCCTCTCCCACAAGACTACCGCAGACCAGACCTCTGCCCTCATGGGAAAGCAGAGCCTCTTCACTCATCTGCTTCACATTACGTAATGTACTTAACACCCTCCTAACAGAGCATGGACTAGAAGCTCAGTGCTGCCCCATGCACCTGACAAATACTGAGTGATTTTCCAGACGGGGTTAAAGTTCCTTTAAAAAGAGGTATCAGGTTGGGTGCAGTGGCTCACACCTGTAATCCTATCTATGAAGGAGGTAGAGATTGGGAGGACAGAGGTCAGCCCAGGCAAACAGCGAGACCCCATCAACCAATAAAAAGGTGGGTGTGGTGGCATGCATATGTCATCTCAGCTGCTCAGGAAGCAAAAATAGGAGGATCATGGTCTAGGCTGGCCCCAGCAAAAAAGCAAGACCCAATTTGAAATATAAGGCCATGACTCAAGTGTTAGACTACCTGTCTGGCAAGTGCCAGGCCCTGAGGTTTTTTTTTCTTTTTTTCAAGCTGGGGTATCAGGATCCAGATGCAGTAGCTCACACCTACTACTTGGAATGAGGAGATCAGGAGAATTGTGGTTGGAGGCCACCTGGATAAAAAGTTATCAAGACCCCATCTCAATCAGTAAGCTGGGTGTGGTGGTTCATGCCTGTCATCCCAGCTATGTGGGAGGCATAAATAGGAGGATCTCAGTTCAGGTCAGTCAGGACAAAAACATGAGGCCCTATGGAAAACAACTGAAGCACAGGGGTTAAGGATGTGATTCACTTGGTAGGACCTGGGCCTAGCAGGTTTTAGGCCTTGAGTTCAAACCACAGTACCACCAAAAAAAAAAAAAAAAAAGAAAGAAAAAAGAGGTATCAGGTCACGTCACTCTCCTACTTTATATACCTTTTGACGACACTGAAATCACAGACTAAAATCCAAACTCAAACTCACTCAGGGACCTACCAGGCCCACCTACCTTGGGCCTGCCTGGCTCTTTTACCCACGCCCCACCATCTCTTCACAACTATCACCTTGGCAATTTTCAGTTCCACTGGCCTGTCATCTGACAGCAAGGTCAGCCCCACAGTGGCAGGGCCTCTCTGCTGACATCCCACCCCAATCCCTGCACAGCAACAATGAGACTAACCGAACCTCACAGCATGTGCTGGGGGTCAGGCACTGTTCCAAGCAGATGATGTGGTTGACTGGTCTTTTCTCTCAACAACTCTGGTGAAAACCACTCTCAGCCTCATTTTACAGTGTGGGAACAAGACCTGAGAAGTTCAGTCACCTGCCCAAAGTCAGACAGCCTACTTAAATGCTAAGACAAGATGTGAATGGGGTCCTTGTTTTTCTCCCCATGCTATATTCCACCACTGCATAAGAAAAGACTGTTGAATAAGCAATCCTTGCAGGTGTCTGCTAGATAAGCAAATGAAATTGAGGCAGTGGGTATTAGGGAAGGCTTCCTGGAAGAAGCGGCATAATTTGATCCTTCATCTGCAGTCAGGATGTGGACAAGCAAGTTGGCAACAAAAAGGGGAAGAATTCTGCTGTGCTGAACCAGTGGCTGAGATCTTGCTGCTCACCTTCCAGGTGCCTCACATGTTAGACAAATGCTCTTTGTTCCACCCTCCAACTCTGTAGCCTGCCTTGGACACTATATGTACATTCCCAAGGCCAAAAGACACCTACCACAGGTCACTTTGCCTTCTGATGTGGGCCTTGCAGGCTCCTGCTGCTGCTGGGGGGCAGCTGAAGCCCCTCTTCGCCGCCGTCTGGCACCACTGCTGGGCCGGCCCCGACTCTGCCGCTGCCGTTTGGTTGCAGGGGAGCCTAAGTAGACAAGAGGGGCAGGCTGAGGAACAAGCTGATGGATGGAGTACTCCAATGGGTGCCCAGGAGGAGCTCAAGGCCACTCTCTTGGGGAGCCCTTGGGGGAGCCCACCTAGAAGGGGCCCTGTGCAGATAATGGGGGGACCATGCACTGTCATCCAGAAGGGGAGATGGGCAAGCCCACTACTCAGCAGGCCCCCCCCCCAGACCTGACCTTAAGAGAAGTCCCTGTGTTCTGACACCAGGAGACAGGTAGGATGATAGCCATTCGAGCATCGTTTATAATCATGAAAACCTGAACACAATGCAAGGGTCAGATAAGAAGAAACAGGAACAGAGTAGTTTCCAGAATAAATCAGTCCAGTGTTGTGGTACCTGCCTATAATCCCAGCAACTGGAACAAGAGGCTGAGGCAGGATAAGAGCATTGTGAGTTCAAGGCCAGCCTGGGCTACATGAAAACCTATCTCAAAAAAAAAAAAAAAAGGAATAAAAATATAAAATAAATGCCTACAGTTTGCTATATTTTGCATAAAGGAGAAGAAATAAAAATATATACATATGTTTGTTATTTTTGCAAGAGTAAACAATGAAATTGGTTACCAATCTACTTGAGGGGCACTGACAGAAATGCCACATCTAAGAATCTTTTTTCAGACTTTAGTTTTGCCTTTTGAGTCATGTAACATTTTTACACACTCAAAAACCTGAAAGAAAACAAAAAGAAACAAACTGTAAAACTAAACACAAAGAGAAACAAATGAACCTAACTGTATACATAAGTGGTAACATGAACACTTGAGAAAAGAATTGTTTCAAGTACTTGGAAGAACATTCTGAGTGCAAGGTCTCAGTGGGATATGATCAAAGAACAAGAGGCACAAACAAATCTTGCCCTTCATTCAACAGATAGAGTCAGCAGTGACACTTTACAATTTTAATGCCACTTTATTATTGTTGTAAAATAAAACAAGTAAATCCACATCTTGATGTTATCAAGAGCCAAAACTTTCAGAATTAAAGAAAAAAGTTTCTGTAATGTTGATTTTGAATTGAGAAATACTGACAGGTACTTTTTAAGGCACAGACTCTAGCTTTGTTCTCCTACAGAGCTGAGTAAAAGTGCATGCTCATCAACAAGGACCTTGATCTCTAAATAGCATGGTCTCTTAAAGAAACCAGGCTCCTTGAGAAACAGGTGATTCTGTGGCTAGGAAAAAAGAAGTTCAAGCTGATCCCAGGACATCTTGCAGTGCCACAAAGTAGTGGCACTCCAAGAATGATGGACATGTCCAGTAACATATCAAAAAAACCCAGAGTCTAACCAATTTGAATCTTGGGAAGAATGATTCATTACTGCAAGATGCTGCTGGTGGCTCACACCTGTAATCCTAGCTACTCAGGAGGTAGAGATTAGGAGGCTTGCAGTTCAAAACTAGCCCAAGCAAAATGCAAAGTAGTTCACAAGACCCTATCTCAAAAAAAAAAAAAAAAAAAAGAAACTCATTACTATAAAACAAAGTAAATAATGAGTAACTCCATACTGATACTTTAAAAAAGGAGTGAGAGATAGAGTGAAGGAAAGAGAGTGAGAGAAGACACCCTCGAAAGAATTTCATCTACCACAGGTAGAAGAAAAGAACTGTTAAAAATCACCATTTTGCAAACATTAATTTGATAACTGGTTCAGGCCAGATTCACAAGTAGATGCTAAATCCACTGGGTGCACAGCTACTAGCAAACACAATGTGCCAAAGAATCCTTTAACCATATCATTTACACATAACAATGTAAAGAAATGTCCCTTTACACTGTACAAATATGGCAGGAATCACCTCAACAAAATGATTAAACTTCCCCATTCACAAAGAGACTATCAGATTTTAAATGCCTAAATTTAAATGATGTGCTCCATCAGGAAGGAAACAGCATCAACGAAGGAGTATTCCTGCCAAAAACGTGTAACCTGAATCTAACCAAGCCTCCAGGCCCAATTCCCACTCCACAGGAAATATAGGGGACATAGGAAAAAATTAAATGACACCATCAAGAAATAATTGGATACATCCAGAAATAATCAAAACATTCTACACAGCAATCTGGTAGGGTCAATAAGTCAAAAAGGAAACAGGTGGGTGGGAGTATAACCCACTAGAACAGGTGCTTAGCATGCAATGCAGGAAGCCCCAGTTCAGTCCCTAGAAGGTTCTAGTCTATAGTTAAAGAGATTAAGGAGGCATGACAACTGCATGCATAATGACTCAACCTTGAGTGAATCCTGAAAGTCAAGACAACTTTAAGAGATTGAAAATGAACTATTAGGCTATCAGAAAATTAATATTTTCTTAGGTATGATAATGGTCTCGAAGTTGTACAGAATATTCTAAAGTGATGCCTGCTGATTCAGGGTAAATCGACTGATGTCTGTAATTTATTTACAAACAGTTCAACAAAAAACCTGGAATTACACATACACACGTAAAGCAAAAGTGGCAAAATACTTCTGATCACTGAATGTATATGAAGATGTTCTTTGTATTCATTTTTAACTGCACGTTTAAAATTTTACCTAATTAAAAAAAAACTGAGGAGGAAGAGACTGAATACATTAATTGGGACATGGCAATTAAACCAATTAGAAGCATAAAACATGAATATATCTCAAAAATGCATCCAGCAAAGACAGCCAGGTGCAGAATGACACCCACAACATGATGTCACTTAAATGAAACATGAAACCACGTGAAACTACTCTGCTTGTTGCTTCAGGACACAGGCTTCTTCCTGTAGCAATAATAAACACAGACACACTGCAAGCATGAGACAGAATGACCCCCTCAGGCTACTTCCTTGATGGGTTAAGACCTATGAGGCTTATCAAGGTTCAGAAGGAAGGCAGGAGCACTGCTACTGTGCCCACCCAGTGGGCTCACCTGTGTCCCACTGGCCCTGCTGAGAATCTGAAGAAGTGCTGGACTGCCGATGGTGCCGACAGCTGTTCTCGGTCCTTTGTGAAGAAGAGCTGGAACTGCCATAGCTGTAGCGCTCTGGGGACACTGGGGAAAGAGAATGGAAAGAAGCATTCACAGCCTTCTGGCTCTCCCAGGCTGTCCTCAATTCCCAACCCTCGAAGAATGCCTGAATCACATGGTGCCTAAGTCCCCAGGGTCAGACCCAAACACCCACTCCTTCTCACAGATCTCCTGCCCAGAGATAGCTCAGACACCTCCCAAAAAGGACTCATCACCTCATGGGACTACCCAAGCCACACATACAGCAACTCCAACTGTCAGGGTTATTCTGTCAGCAGTTATGGTCTTGATTCCTGTAGTGGCATCTTAGTCCCCACTGACTGTCCCTTGCTCATTCTGTGGCCCCAAGAAGCAAGCAGGCCTCTCTCTATGCCTAAAATCTCTTCTAGAGCCTGACCCTCAGACATATTTCCCCCAAAACACTATCAGCCAATCCCTAGAGGTGCCCTTCTTGGTTATGCAAATCCCATAGGCTTACTCTAGGCCAGAAAAGCCCATAATCCCCTCTCCCCAACCTAGTCACTGCTTGTCTAGGCAAGGGCCCAACAGCCTAGGTATGCCCCCACCTGACCTGTCCTTCCCTCCCAAGGATCAAGGACCTCAACTCTAGAGACAGGCCAGGTGGGCTTAAGTACTGGCTCCCATATTTTCTAGCAATGTTATCTGCAAGCCCTTTTTTGACATGCCTTCTCACCTCCCTCTCCACCTTTACTTCAGATCGTCTCTGCTCCTGGCCTCTGAGGCTGCTAAGCTCATTCTCACCTCTGGGCTAATGCTTTCCTCTTCACTCTGCCTGGGATTTTCTACCCTGAGATCTGTGCATAGCTGGCAGTGCAGCCTCAATCCAAATGTCATTTTTCAGAAGGATCTTCCTTCACTGGTTACACAGTGAAGGTCCATTCCAGCCTTTCTCCACTTTGTGGTACCCTATCTATCACCTCGTCACTTGCTTATTTGTTTTATTATTTGATTCTTCCACTAATTGCAAATTTCACAGAATAAACATCTTAGCCCATCACCTTATATCCTCTGTGCTCAGCATGCAGGATTCCATTCTCATATGCGGCAAGCTGCTTTTCTGAACCTGATGTTTTCCCTGCATAGTGGGTTCAGTAACAGGACTTCCTTGTGGGATTACTGAGAGGCTATAAATTGACAGTTCATAGGAAGGGCTTACCTCTGTGCCTGGCATAAAACAAACCCTCCATATACAGTGGGCATAATTATTATTCCTGATGTGGCCAAATTCCATAAGGTCACTCCTCCCTAATCCATGCCTCCTCCCTCTTGGGTTTCTCATTGATACTCTGGGAAGGAAGACATACTGTCTGATATGACACTGTCCATATCAGAGCACCAGGGGGCCCAGCGGGAGCAAGGCCTTCTCCCCACCCGAAGTCAGGCACCCTCCCATTCAACCTTACCTGGCCGGCGCCGTTTGCGCGCCAGGTGTGGCAGCAGGTCGTGGCGGGACAGCACACGCAGGAGTTGGCCTAGCAACCGGAGGTTGCTCTCGTCGCACTGTCCGCGGCGCTCCAGCTCCAGTAGCAACTCCAGGCCGCTGCGGGCGCTGGCCAGGCCGCCGGAGGCGCCGGGGGCCTCGTCCAAAAGGAAGGCCAGGAGCTCCAGCTCGCACTCGGTCAGCTGCCCGCCCACCACCTCGAACATACGGTGAAGCGACAGCATGCCGTAGTAGTCCAAACACTCATCCTCCTCCCAGCTCGGGGCCGGGGTCGACCCAGACAGCGCCATTCCCGGGGGAGGGGTGCAGAACAAGCTCAGAACCAGGGCCTAGAACCCACACGGCGGGGGAGGAGGCAGTGGTCAGCGACGAGAAGACCCAGTCCCCACACAGGCCAATGCGTGTCCCTAGCGCGGTCGCGCCAGGCAGGGCCGCCCGGACACCCCCAACCGTCTCAGCCTCCCCCTCCTCGGAAGGGAATGGTATCTCCCGAGGTCCCCTAGTAACAGGTCGAGACGCCAGACCCCGCGGGTCCCTGAACAGTCGAGCCGGCAAAGCCCAAACGCCCCTCTCCCGGTGGTACGTTCCGAACTAGCCTCCGACAGACCAAAGTGATAGGTCCTAACTAACCTCGCGACCCATTCCAGGACACCGTGTCTACTGCCCTGTGACTTTGGGTAGTAAATGACCGGACGTGGCCTTGGTTCTATCCAGTAGCACTGTCTGGCTAACCCCAACGCTCCACCCAGGTGGTACCGACCGAAAGTGACCCCCTGCCCCCTACAAGTGGGACCGACCAAGGGAGTCCTTTGCTCCACACAGGTGGTACTGTCCGAACCCAACCCCTCGCTCGATCCGGCCCTCTCCCCAGCGCTCAGATAGTTCCGTTTACCCGCCACCAGTCACCCTTAGCCGTCTCTGGATCCTCACCAGATTTCGGCGTCCGATGACTCCTGGGTGACGGCCGCAGCCACTTGTTTTGGATCTTTCTGGCACCTTCTCTATTATTACGCCTGCGTCACCTCGCTCCTCCTCCTCCTTCCCTCAACTAGCGCAGGTGCGACCGCCACGCCCCTTTGGCGCAAGCGCAGAAGGAGGCCTCGAAACCCCACCCCTCCCGGGCCGCCTGCCTGACTAGTCCCCAACTGTAACATCCTGGCTTGCTTGTATTGCGCTTGCGCAAAGCCGGAGCCTCGCCGCATCTGACACACTCGGTTATAGGATCGGTACTTCTCGTCAGTGATTTAAGCGGCCGGGTTCCTGTTACCCCACGTCAGGACCTGTTGGAATTATTCTTGTCATGAACTACATCCCCCGCCTGATCACGACCTTAGACGTCCACGTTACCACTGTCCCCAACTGCCAGTGACGAAGGACCACAGCCACAACAATCTGGGCTCCCTGGACTCCTATAATCAGGACTTGGACATTCCTCAATTGGAATGTCTCTCACTCCTAATAGCAACCAGAAACCTACTGGAAAACATCATCCAGCAACCCCCCCACCCCAATCTATAAATTTCTTCCCCTTATCAGGACCAAGATTCTCCAATCTCATGTATGGAACTGGCATCTCTTTGCAAATCGCAATAGACCTCTCCATCCCGATATGCACCTTCCAAAGAAGTCCATCATAATCCGCAACCCCCAAGGTTGGAATGGCCCCTCCACAATCCTTTCCCTTGCTGCCCTCCAGGGCATAGTCACCCAGATGCTTCCTCCCTAATCTGTACCAACCATAGCAAGTCTGTCGGGGAAGTCAGGGTTGAGCCTGTGGTGTTGGCGGCTGGTTCCCTGCCTCGGGGCGTTGGGTGTGACGGCCGCTCCGCCCCCCATTTAGGTGACTCAAGATCAGGACTGGCACGTGCTTGAGACAGGTCTCCTTCCCTAGCCGGTTCCCACCTCCTGAATTATCTCCCCAGGAAAGGCGGGAAACCTGGGTCCTGCCTGGGACTGGCTCAGTACTGGCTCTGTTTGGGCTGCAGTGATGACCTCGGAAGAATTTCTCCCTTTCTCTGGGCTTCAGTTTCTCCAGATGGATGGAAATGGTCCGCTATGGAAGCATAGTCCTGGGCTGGACACATAGTAGAGCCCCTTAAGTACCAATCATTAAATCAAATGAGAGGGAAAGGAAAGCAATTTTACAAACTGGTTAGGATTATGTCTATGTTAAAGATAGGTTGTAGTGGGCACCCACGGTGTATAAGGCCCTGTGTTGAACGCTTTTACGTATGTCATATTATCCAATCCCTTCAACGGCCTTTAGCTGGTAGTTGTGATTCAAGACCACTTTACATACCCGTAAAACAAGCCGGTAGAGGGGAAATACCTCAAGTGTGTGGTTTCAAAGCTGTGATCTCAGAGATCCTCAGTCTCATCAGCTATGAAATAACACCTCTGTCTCTCGCCGCCCACTTCATCCTAAGAGCGCTCGTTCCCTATAGGTGCCCATTTCTATTCACTGAACTTTCAAACTCTTAGCAGGAAAGGAGCGGTCAGGGAGAACTGCGCAGGCGCCTTCCCTTGTCCCAGGACCCGCCCACTGGGCACAGATGTGTGCGTGGAGAAACTTGTGGAGCCCCGCCTGAGCATTACTACGCAGGCGCAAAGGCGCGTGCCCTGCGCTGTCGTCTCTCATTGGCTGCCACGAGTAAGGGTGCCGCCCAATGGGAGGCGTGGATAGTGAGGGGTCCTACACGCCTGGAGTCGAGGGTCTGTGTCAAGAGCGGCAGGGGCTGCTGGAGGTAAGAGAGGTGGGTGAGGGCGCCGCGGGGCGGGCGGGGAAAGAGAGTGGCTGGGCGTACAGAGAAGGCGGAGGGAGAAGGAAGGGGACACCAGGGATAGAAGCGCCTTGGGGCCTGTACTTAGGGCAGGAGTAGCGCGGGATGGAAGAAGAGCGTTCCTTCCTGGGTGCTCCTGGAGGCGTTGGTGCAGTGGGTAGGACCCTACGCTAGAGCTCGCTCCCACACCCCTACAGGAGGGGAGCGTCGTAGGAAAAGAGGATTGTGTAGCGGGAAAGTTGAACTTTCAGGGCCCTGGTGGGTTCTTTCCTGGAAGTGCATAATGGAACTAATTGTAAGAAAAGCCCCCGTCCCTCCCCCAGTGGCTCATAATCCAAGCTTGGGAAAGAGGAATGTTGATGAGAAAAGTGCAAATTTCAGGTCCCTGGGCCTTCTAGAGAGACATTTGTTGAAGGCCTACTTTGTGCAAGCGTTTGTAGCAGACTCTGGGCCTACCTAGCCCTAGGGGAGTTCCCTGTTCTGAGTGGGACTGTAAACAAGGAAAACCGGAACTCTCCACCCCCGTGGTTGACTAGTTCCAGGAAGATCCATTATGGAAAAGCTGTTGTGTACAGAACCCTGGCAACTCAAAATGAGAGATTTCGAATAAGTGGATAAGGAAGGTTTAACTCCAGGGATTTGGAATAAGTGGATAAGGAAAATTTAGGGTCCTGGGCTATGTGTATTGTGGGAATTCACAGTAGGAAAGGAGAGTTGGTCTGGTTAGAAATGAGGTATGTACAGGACTGGTTAAGCTCCCAGAGCCTTGAACTGGTGGAGTGGCTCAGGCGGTAGAGTGCCTGTCTAAACTCTCAGGGCCTCTCTTCCCATAGGAGCCTTATTCATTCACTAAATACCTACTGTGTGCCTGCTGTGTGCTGGGCGTCATTCTTGGCACTGGAAATACCTCACTGATGAACAGGCTAGAATCCCTGCCTTCTGGGAGATTAATATGAGTAACTTATATATACAGATTATAAGCTAAACTCCACCTGCCCTCTGGTGCTAACCAATGTGAAAAAAAGGAAAAGAAGGTGGGGATTGGATTCAGAAGATTGGCTCCAAGACTGGGAGGAGAGCAGTCATTTGCTGATATACTATGAGACCCTGTTATGTGAAGGGGCCTGGGTTGGGTGGAGCCCACACAAGTAGAAAAGGAGATAAGACACACAGAGGGAGGCAAGTTTGAAGGTTAAAACCCCTGTCCCTCGTCAGTGGTTTCATTGGTGACAATGAATTAGACCTACCTGCAAACTCTGTTTGGTGAGGAGCTCAGAGACACCATCCCAAGCTCCTATTTGCTGTGATAGAGGGAGTCCTCACCTTCCTGAAGATGTAAAGATGTCAGAGGCAGCTCCACAAAGGAGGTGCAGGGTAGGAGTTTGCTAGATCGCCAAAAACCACTTTTCTGGAGAACGTCAAGTAATGGCTCTAGCTAACCTTTATCAAATGCCAGGGGCTCTGTGGTCAGTAGTACTTTTAGTCCCATTTTCCAGGTAAGAAAACAGTCTCAGAGTGAGGAAGTAAGCAGTGGAACTCCGATTGGAGCCCAGGGCCTGTGCTCTTAAACACTGTTCTACATCTCCTGGTGTCCGTGTGAGAGGAGGAGAAAAGGTGTTGCACAAAGAGGAAACTGCACAGGCAAAGGTCGGGAAGCTGGAACAGCCATGGTGTGTTCTCAGAAAGGGTGTGATGGGACCTCTGGGAGATGAGAACAGCATGAGAGGCCAGGCTGCTGAATGCTTGCTCTCTCCCGCAGATGCCTGACTGCTGTGGCTGCAGTAGGCTCAGAGGCAGGCTCGTCAAAGACCGAGGCATAAACATTGGACTAAGACTTGATCACTAGAACCTGGTGAGTAATGGGATGAGCAAAGGACCCTCCCCTTGGGTTCTGGTGGATCACTGGCTCCTGTCTGTTTTTCTCCAGGTGTTGCCTTCCCCACAATGGCAGAGGTGGTAGCTGAGGTGGCTGAGATGCCGACACAGTCGCCAGGGGCAGTGGAGCTGTCAGCACCCATGTCAGGGGAGCTGACAGAGATGACAACAGAAGTGACCGAGATGACACCTGGGGAGGCTCTTGCCTCATCCCTCTTCTTCCAGCACCACCAGTTCATGTGCTCTGAGTGTGGCAGCCTCTACAACACACTGGAGGAAGTCCTCTCACACCAGGACCAGCACATGGCTACTGTATCAGAAGAGGAGTCACTGACCACACAGAACACGGGGATGGAGCCAGAGCTAGTGCCTGGCACTGAGGAGGGGCCTTTCCAATGTGGTGAATGCAGCCAGCTCATTCTCTCCCCCAGTGAGCTCCTGGCCCACCAGGACGCCCACCTCCAGGAGTCTGCAAGCCAGATCCAATACCAGTGTGGAGACTGCCAGGAGCTCTTCCCTTCACCTGAGCTGTGGGTGGCTCATCGCAAGGCTCAGCACCTTTCTGCTACAGTGGCTGAGCCACCAGTGCCACCTCCTTTGCCTTCCCCAACACCACCACCTCCACCACCTGAAGTCAAGATGGAGCCCTATGAGTGTCCTGAGTGTTCCACCCTCTGTGCCACTCCTGAAGAGTTTCTGGAACATCAGGGCACCCACTTTGACTCCCTGGAGAAAGAAGAGCGCAATGGATTAGAGGAGGAGGAGGAGGAGGAGGAGGAGGAGGAGGAGGAGGATGGAGAGACAGAGGATGAGGAGGCAGCTACAGAGCTGGCTGATGATGCTGTGGGAGGAGACAAGTCCACAGGTGGCCCGGCTCAGGGCTGTGGAGATTGTCCCCAACATTGTACCGCCTCAGGGGCACGCCGGAGACACCGACGGGCATCCCGTGGCCCAGCATCGGCCACCCACCCCTTCCACTGCAGCCAGTGCCAGCGCAGCTTCAGCTCAGCAAACCGGCTGCTGGCTCATGGGCGGGCCCATGTTGGAGGCACGCATGAGTGTACAACCTGCTCCAAGGTCTTCAAGAAGGCAGCCTCACTGGAGCAGCACCTGCGGCTGCACCGCGGAGAAGCCCGCTACCTCTGTGTGGACTGTGGCCGTGGCTTTGGCACAGAGCTCACGTTGGTGGCCCACCGGAGGGCCCACACTGCCAACCCACTGCATCGCTGTCGCTGTGGCAAGACATTCAGCAACATGACCAAGTTCCTCTACCACCGGCGTACCCACTCTGGGAAAAGCGGGACCCCTGCCACAGCAGCAACAGTCTCCCCAGCTCCAGCTGAGCCTACCCCCCCTCCCCCACCTCCTGCCCCTCCTGCCCAGCTTCCCTGCCCACAGTGCCCCAAGTCCTTTGCCTCAGCTTCCCGGCTGTCCCGGCACCGGCGGGCAGTACATGGGCCCCCCGAAAGACGGCATCGCTGCGGGGTTTGTGGCAAGGGCTTCAAGAAGCTGGTCCATGTGCGTAACCATTTGCGGACACACACAGGTGAGAGGCCCTTCCAGTGCCACTCGTGTGGCAAGACCTTTGCTTCTTTAGCCAACCTCAGCCGCCACCAGCTGACCCACACAGGCGTGCGTCCCTACCAATGCTTGGACTGTGGCAAGCGCTTCACACAGAGCTCCAACCTTCAGCAGCACCGGAGGCTGCACTTGAGGCCTGTTGCCTTTGCCCGTGCCCCTCGCCTCCCCATCACTGGTCTCTACAACAAGAGCCCCTACTACTGTGGGACCTGTGGCCGCTGGTTCCGTGCCATGGCAGGTCTGAGACTGCATCAGCGTGTCCATGCTCGAGCCAGGACTATGACACTGCAGCCTCCTAGATCACCAACTCCTACCCCGCCCCCAGCCCCTGAGCCTCAGCAGACTATCATGTGCACAGAGCTCGGGGAAACCATTGCCATCATTGAGACATCCCAGCCACTGGCTCTAGAGGACACTCTGCAGCTGTGCCAGGCTGCACTGGGGGCCAGTGAAGCAAGCGGGCTGTTGCAGTTGGACACAGCCTTCGTGTGACACCACTGTAGAGCAACAGTGAAAGGGTTTGGCTGCAACAGCAAGTACAGGTACCTCTAGGGGGAAAGAGGACCCTTCTGGCAAGCTGATTTGTTACCCACCATGTGCTAGGATCCACCTGGCCTCTTGTGCCCACTGAGTCCTCAGAACACCCCTGTCAGGTTTCTCTTGTCACCTTTCTCTGCCTGAGGGGAAACTGAAGCTCTGAGATGTGATGTGATCTGTCCTGGCTCACCCTGCTGCATCTCAGAGCAGGGCTTGCCAAGGCTGTTTGGCACTGCATTACCCTGGTGCCTGGCATCATCAGGTAACTAATCATGTGCCAGGTCTGTGCTGGGCACTCTCATATATCTCTTCAGATTCTCTGCTTCTCCCCCAGCTCTTGCTTCCCTGAACTTTGGGGACCCAGGACTTGGCTCTGCATGGTGGACAAAGGCGCTTGACTTTTCTGGGCTACTCTCATCTCAACTTTGACAACATGGAAAGAAATCTATAGGTACTCAGATACTCAGTCTAGACTGGGTGATGCTGGAGACTGAGGAGTGAGCCAGACACGGGCTCCGCCCTCAGGAGACATGCTCAGTCTGGTAGGAGGAACACACACAAGTACAGACAGCTTGCTCTCTGAATGTGTCTCACTGGTTCATTCAGCCTGTGTGTCCTAAGACCTCCCTCTCCTGCTGGGCAGTGCTGTGGGCCAGAGTCAGACTTAATGATTCCCTGGGCTGTGGTGGGATGTGCAGGCAGAGTGAGATCTCAGAGTAGGAAACAGACTTCCATGGGAGGAGACCAAGAGTGAGAGAGACTTCCTAGAGGAAGCAGTCCCTAAATCTGATAGTGGAAAAGAACGTCCCAGGCAAACAGCACCACAAGAGAGGGTAAATTCTTGGTGTATTTGGAAACCATCCAATTACAACTCCAGTGACAGTGAACATTTGGCTGTCTGTTGGTGGCAGGCGCCACACTTAGCACTGTATTATGATCCCAGCAAGCCTGAAATGGACCTCAATGTCATTCCTGTTGTACAGGCGTAAAAACGGGAGACAGAGACTTCCCCAAGGCCTAACAGCTAGGCAGAGGTGCTGTGACATCTGCACCTAGGTGGTTCCTTAAGCCCACGTTTGTATTGTGGCAATGTTCTGGTGATTGAGAACTGAATCCCACCTGGGCTAGGCTCAGAGGGTTCATTCTAATTGGAGGAAAAGTAAGCCAGTGTGACAAAGCAGTTGGATTTGAGGGGGCCTTGAAAATCAAAGGTCTTTGGAGCAGGAAGCGATCCCCAATTTTCTCAGAGGGTGCCTGGGATAATAGACCTTCCCGCCCTAAGTAGATGTAATGATTCTGAGGGGTCAGTGGGGCGGGCTCTACCTGGCCTCTGCAGACCAGGATGCTTGGGCAGCTGAAGCAGAATGCTGCTGAGGCTGGGATTGTCCAGGAGGCCATGCCTTTGAAATAGGGCTGAATAATTCAGGGCAGTGTGGAGAGGGCAGGGCATCAGATCTCCCTGGGGTTAAAGTGAGATGAGTGTCTTATCCCCTTCTGGCAGTGGTCCAGAAGGGGATAAGACAGGCAGACTGGACAGAGATTGGAGAGGTAAGTGGATGGTGAGGGACACTGTCAGTGACCACCTAGTCAACCAGTGGGGAGGAAAGAACCCTAGATTCACCCTTTGCCCAGACCAGCTCTCCTCCCCTTGTCTAATGTATGTGCTCTATGTATCCATTTTACAAACAAGGTGAAATCCAGGCTGGTGTTGAGCAAAGGGAGGGATAGGGCTCATCCTAGCCAGTAAAAATATACTCCCGGCACTCCCTCTGGGACATAGAGCTCTCCCTTTCTAGTCACAAGTGGAATCCAGCGGAGGGTGTGCTCCTTCCCTTCTGGAGCTTCCATCTATTTGCTTGCTTGGCACCATATGGAGGAGGTACCATTTCTTTCTGCCTGATGTCCCAGCATGTTTTAAAAGTGAGGGGTAAAGTAAGCTCTGTCCCAGCCTTCCCGGGGTTGTTACTTCCCAACATCCCTCAGGAGAGAAGCAGGTAGGTCCCCTGCTGAATACGCAGACATGAAGCCCTGTCCATGTCCCATCCCACTGAAAGTTTGAAGGTGGCTAAGTTTTGGCCTGAATGACTCCTCATGATCCAGTCTTTCCCTCCTGGATCCTGGAGCAGCTGAAGTCAGACAGGCCTTTGTTAAGTCTTGGCTCTGCCACTTAAGTTCTGTGTTCGAAACCCGTTGGGTACCCATTCTTCTACGGATCACTGGTGGTGCTCACTCCCATCCCCGCCCCCTGCCTAAAGCAGCAGTGGATGATTTATGCTGGGTCAGAGTGGACTCCTCCCAGGCCTCTGTAGTAGACTGGCTCATCATGATGGGCAGAGGGGAGTGCTAAGGTGCCAGAAAGTTGGGCCCTTAAGTCAGGGCCAGGCCTCACAGAGTTCCCCAGCTTGAGGTACTGTCATTCCTCACCCCAAACAGCCCTTCAAATCCCCCCTCAACTCAGAGGAAACAGGCAGCCAGCCAGGAAGCAGGTTTTCATGCCAATAATTTATTGAACGGCGGTCTGTACACAGGCAAACCTTACTGTGGAAACTAAGATACCAGGGGCTCTCCCCACTCCCCCAGCCCTCCAGGGTGGGCAGAGGAGGGAGGCCTTGGGAGCAGAGGGCAAGAGGGGAGATACAGCTGTAGGAGAAAGGGGCAGGTTGGATGATGCGAATCGACGTTTTCTTTAAGAAAAAAATTATAACAATCTATTTACACCTGGGGGGAGGAGCAAGGAAGGGAAAGGAGATGGGCTGGGCTGGGTCTATTTACAAGGGACACTGGAGGAGGTGGAAGTCAAGGGGAGGGGAGGGTGCCATGGGGGTAAGAGATTCTCATACCCCAAACCCCTGTCCTTCCTTCTCTTCCCTCCCCACAACCAGTTAAAATCCTCTTAAAAAGCCCACCAGAGGTGAGGCTGGTGAGGGAGGGACTAGAGTGGGGGTAGGGACTCATTTACCTCTGTCTCTAGTCTAGGGGCCCAGCCATGGCAGGAGCTTGATGGGCTATGGCCCCCCTTCCCAGCCCCACTTGGGGCTCCCAGATGGACATGGAAGAGTAAGTGGTGGGGCCCTCAAGAAGAGTTACTGAGGGCAGGTGTGGTTTCGGCTGGCTGCCAGTCTGAGCTGGTCTGAGTCTCAGTTAAAGCTGAAGGGAAGGGAGGGAAGAAGTAGATAGTTAGCCCTCACTCTCAGGCTCCACCCCACCCCTGCCAAGAGTAGAAACTGGCTACTGCAATAAAAGTCACTTTTTTTTTTTTTTTGGTGCTGGGATCGAACCTAGGGCCTTGTGCATGCTAATAAGCAAGCGCTGTGCCACTGAGCTACATCCCAGCCCCATAAAAGTCACTTTGGATCCAGGAATACAAACTCAAATGCCAAAGGGCCAGCTGGACAATTGGAGCCAGGCTCCATGTAAAAAGGGGCAGAGGGGGCAGGTGGACACAGCTTCCACGGCTATCAGGAAAAGTAGGCCCACTGCTGTAGAGTCTGATTTACTTCCTTTAAACCCTCAGCAAATGGCCCTCAACTTACCTTGTGAGGATGGAGTGAGGGTAGTCGTGCCTGCTGGGGACCTCAAGTGAGGAGGGATGAGAATGGCATTGAGAGACGGTTGGATGGAGAGTTCTAGAGACAGGAATTGACATGCGCAGTCAGGAGAGGCAGGGCATTTAGAAACCCAGTTAGGGTTATGATGGGGCACCAGACAAGGACCCAGCTATTGACAAGGCCAGTTGGTGGACACTTAGCCACAGAACTCAGTAAGTGTAAAAATGAAAAGAGCCTAACAGAAAGCAGGTCAAAGAGCATTACTGAGGCAGCTATGGCACCTCCCTTAATGGTATCTTCCTGAGCCCTAGGCCTGCCTTTCTCCACCTCAGCTCCCCACACCAAGCTTTGACTGCCCTGAAAGCTCCACAGATCCCAAGCTATGCTCTCACCACCAGGACTGAAGTTGAAGAGGGGGGGAAGCGGGCGGTTGTTGGGGAGCTGGGTTCCGAGACACCGCAGTTCATCAAAGAAGCTGTGGGCACAGGCCTCCAGGGGGGAGAGCCTCGAGGATGGTGTGTACTCCAGCAGGCTTGAGCAGAGCGCAATGGCCTCTGGCGGCGTCCGAGATTTGAACACCTGGGGGGAGGGTCACCAGGGTGAACAGTGCAGTGACACCAGCATAATGCACTTACTTCTCTGCCACCATGCCCACAGCAAATACAGCTGCCTGCCTCCCACAAACCCACCTTCCAAATAAGGAAACTGAGGCACAGCCATGAAGAATAATCAGTTTGTATCAGGCAGGTAGCTGTCCCAGGTCCCATGACTGTATGAGCCCTACCGTGAACCTCAATTTCCCTGCCATAAAAATGGGAATCTTGAATTTACCTGTGGGTCTTCAACTTTTAAAATTCCATAAACTTTGAAAGCTGACGCAAGGTACTGACTGGCTCCCTACATAACTTCAAATCCTCTCAAACCATGATTCGGAAGTCAGACCAGTTGTCCTCTAAAGGAACCCACCCTTTGGCCAAGCTGCCTGAGTCCCTAGCCTTGCTCTACCTTTGTCCAGGGATGCGCTTTAATCTGGGGGAACTTGAACTCTGTGTAGTTGGGATTCATCTCTCGGATTTGCTCCCGGGTTGGCGTTCCTAGTACCTGTAAGGAGAGGGAGAGGTCTGAGACAAGGGCCCTATGCCTTAGTCCCATCGTCTGCCCTCCCTGGCCCTGCCCTCACCTTGATGATCTCCACCAGCTGGTCCACTCCACTGTCCCCAGGGAAGATGGGCTGGCCAAGGAGGAGCTCAGCCAATACACAGCCAGCTGACCACACATCTGAAGGGGAATGAGGGAGGGTCAAGGCGGGGCAGATAAGGCCACGAAGCCCACACCCTTGCAAGCACTTCTTTCCCTGTGTCCATCCTGAAAGGTGTCATAAGTCTCACTCAGGTCTGAGAAGAAGCACCCATCCCAAGACTGGTCAGTTTGGTTCCTAAGCTGGAGCCTGACCATGAGCCTTCAGGTTTGCCTGACTTAGTGCATTCCCCAATCTCAGTGTGCTTCCAGCTCCCACTGCCTCTGCTCGGAGACTCCAGTGAACCCTCGAAAGCCTCTACATGAGACCCAAACCTGCCAACAGGCACCTGTGTACTCTGGGCCACAGAGAGGTAAAACTTAACTCCTGGACTGCCTTTCTCCTCAGCCTCTTCCCTGCCCATGGGAAGAGCTGTGGCTTCCTTTACACCTAAAGATCACACTGCTGTCCTCTTTCAAACCCTTTCAAGCCTTCTCATTTCATATTCATTTCAGCCTTCCCTTCATGTCTGCAAGGTGGCACTGCTGCCCTCACCAACAGACAAGGACACAGGCCCTAGGAGCAGGCCACACCCTCATGTTGGCAAAGCCTTGCCTGCTGGTTCCCCCAAGGTCACTGCCAGCCCCTCCCCTCCAGCTGAGAACAGAGGGATGACTGGGAGGTTCCAGAGCTAGAGTGGACTCTGGAGTCAGGTCAGCCTTCAAGTCCCAGTCCTGCCCCATCCCAGCAGGCAAATGGTCTCATGGCTCCCAGCCTTAGATCACTGAGACTGCTCATCTAAAAGGAGATGTGACAGCATCAGCCCCTTAAGCTTGGGAGGACCAGGTAAAAAACAGTAAGTTTTTATCACCAAGCCTAGCACACACAACCCAAAAAGAACTCAAAACCTGCCAAGACTTATCCCCCAGGTCCCCTCCCCTAACTGACCGATCGAGGAGGTGTAATCCGTGGCTCCAAAGATGAGCTCTGGGGCACGGTAGTAGCGAGAACATATGTAAGAGACATTGGGCTCTCCACGGACCAACTGCTTTGCACTGTGAGAAAAGATGGACGGGATAAGTGCAAACCAAAGTATGGGGTCCCTCACCCCCACCCCTAACCCAGGTGCCCCAGGTAAAGCCCCACCTGCCAAAATCGCAGAGCTTGAGGACAGCAGTGTCGGGGTCCACCAGAAGGTTCTGGGGCTTGATGTCACGGTGACACACACCCTGGGAGTGGATGTAGGCCAAGCTCCGGAAGAGCTGGTACATGTATACCTGGGGTAGGCAGGCAGGGAACAGCTGAACTTCAACCTGGCCTGCCCCACACAGCACACTGCTGGCCCACTGTCTGGGTGAAAAGCCTTCCAGGTCACTCTTCCTGACTACACCACAGCCTTTGGTTCTAGCTTTAGTGAACAACACACTCAACTCGGGGCTGTTTCACAGACCACGGCCCCATTCCCAGTTTCTGACTCTGGGACTGGGAAAGGGCATCTGCTGCAAGCCTTCCAGCACTGATGCTGGGCCCAGCCCACGCTGTTGAGAACTGCCATCACACCCCATGGCAAAAACCTGAGGAGTAACACAGACATGGCGGAAGGTCTTGTAACGCAAACCAGAGAACCAGGCACTCAGTTTCCTCTCATCAAAAGTCACAACCCCTTCTCCAGTTCAGTTTTCCTACCTTTTCTCCACCCACAGAGCAGGACCAGTTCACTTTGATCATTGCTGCTTCCCCTGTACCTAGACCAGTGCCTGGTGTATACTAACTGCTCCATTGCTGCACCACATACAAAGCTGCTTCTGGTAACCACCTCCTCCTCTGTCCTGGCCTCTTTGCTAAAGATGCTTCTTTCTGTCCTGACACCTGGTCTCCTCCCAAAAGCCTTTATTGATCCTTCTCATCTCCAAAGCAGGTTGGGATGGGGGGAGCTGCCTGTTTTTAGAACTTTCTGTGCCCCTCTAGTATGGCAGCAGCCCATTAGTTTCATACTGTCCTGTGACAATGCCTATCAACCCCAAAAAATGAGGTCTTTAAGAACAAAGCCTGGCCAGGTGCTGGTGGCTCACACCTGTAATTCTAGCTACTCGGGAGGCAGCAATCCAGGAGGATCTCGGTCCGAAGTCAGCCCAAGCTGTTCATGAGACCCAATCTCGAAAACTACCTAACACAAAAAACACAGCTGGCAAAGTGGATCAAGTAGTACAGCACCTGCCTGGCAAGCATAAGGCCCTGAATTCAAACCCCAGTACTGAAAAAAAGAAAGACAAATTATGAGTCTCAGTCATTTGTCCCAGTATGCCGGCACCCACCCCACAGCCAGAGAACTCCCCTCCCAGGAAGTGAGGCCCAGCAGCCCCAATCATTGTAAAGTCCGTGTCAGCATCAGTCAGTCACCCAAGTGCAAGGGGAAAAGAGGAGCAGCAGGACCGAGTGACTCCAGCAAATGAACACATCCACCTCCCAAGGCAGCAGCTACTGCAGCCTCCGTTCCTCCTGTTACCCCTGGACCTGACTCATTCACTCAGTTCATTTGATTCATTCATTCAGACCCCTCCTGAGGACGTTAACACCCAGAGTATGGGGCCCGCCCAGGGCAATGAGTCTACAGACAGCTCAAAAAGATGCATACTGGGCTCTGCTGGGTGGACACTAACCTTCCATACCACCTGTTCCCCGCCCCCCCCCCGCCCCCGGCCCCCTTAGAATCTAGGCTCCAAAGGCCTGGATTCTGACTATAGTAAGTCCCCTTCTGAATTCTTGGTCCCCTTCATCCCAACACCACTGGTGCTACTGGGCTCCCAGAGTGAAACAGGTATCTTGTGGCGCCCTCAGACCCCTGGTGATGCTGCTTTTCTGATTCAGCCAGCCCTTGCCTGGCCCACCCATGTTCAGTGAACTCCACGTGAGGAAGGCCAGGGAATACAGAACCTCTAGAGACCAACATAAACTTGGACAGTGAGGGAACCCACAGAAGACAGGAGGCTCTGGAGCCCCTGGCTTTGTGGCCTGGGCCCTAGCAATCTGCCTGCCTGCCTACCTTGACATAGATAATAGGGATGATCAACTTGGCCTTGGTGAAATGGCGGGCCACCCGGTACACTGTCTCAGGCACGTATTCCAGCACCAAATTTAAGTACAGCTCATCTTTCTGTAGAGAGCAAAGGAGAGGTGTGAGGCATTGTGAGGGAAGAGTGAAGAGGGGGAAGGGAAGGTGTACTGGGGAAGAACTGGATCTTGTGGGAAAGGCAGACAGGAAGATGGATGGAACCAGATAGAGACAAACCTCCTACCCGGGACACCCCAAGATCTTACCTTCTCCCCACTGGAGTAGAAAAAGTACCGCAATCTCACAATATTACAGTGGTCCAGCTTCCGCATAATCTGCAGCTCTCGGTTCTTGGGGACAAAGGGAGAATCTTGTACAACCAACCCTCTGCGTTCCCTCCCTAGGGGCAGCCTGCTCAGCCCTCCTCTCATTTCTACCAACAGGCCCAAGGCCCTGGGTGGTACCCCATAATTCCTCATCCCCAGCCCCTTCCTCATATACAAGCTGAAAGCCTGTGAGTTAATCCCAGGCCACAGAGATGTGTCTTCCTCAACCCACCTGTAAATTTTTCAACTTACTGCTGACATTTAAAAGTCAAGTTACTGGTAGAGCGCTTACCTAGCAAGCACAAGGCCCTGAGTTCAACCTCCAGTACCACCAAAAATGAATAAATAAATAAAATAAAGTAAAAGTTAGGTTACTTCACTTAGAAAGCCAGTTCTCAGCTTCTCTTGAAAAAATCAGATGAGGTAGCAACTAAGGCTCACCAGCCTACATGGTATAAGCAAGAGCAGTCACACAGCGACCCTCTGATTCACTATGGTACCCACCGCTCCCTACTGCTTCCCCTCAAGGCATCTAGAACTCTAAATCTCAAATCCTAAATCCCAGTCTTCTAATTCTCAGCTTCCAATTCATGCTTCGGCCTCTCCCCAGAAGGCCCAAACTCAGCATTCATCCTTTCCCTCTCATTTCTGAGAGCTCATCAAGCTCTGGCTGGCGCCTGAAGCTACTCCTGCCCAGACTTAGGCCCTGGTCTAGGCTTCAATGCCAGTCCTCCAAACACCAGTTATCCCTCCAATTCCACCCTGAGCCTCTGTGAGCTCCCAGGGCACACTGCCTAAGTGACAAGAGACACCCGTTCCTCAACAGAGACAGAGCCCAGCATAAAACAAGTAGTATAGTGAGCATGGCGTGGGCTGGGTTCATTCCTGTACTGGAAAAACACCTGAACACACCTGCAGAGCCACACATCAGCCTTGCCAGACTCCTTTCTCCTCCGGAAGAGAGGCCTTGGGAATCACACAGGCCTTTAATGTCTGGGGCACTTACTATGCAAATTTCATTTCTGCTTACTTAGAATGGGAATAACAACATTACCTGCCTTCAGAGAACCCCCAGATAAATTAAAACAAGAACTGGCCTGTCAAGCACTTCTACTGATAAATGCCCAATAATGTCAGCTCTTGCCTCTCGTAGAAGCCACATTCCCGTGTTCCACACAACTCCTTCCCTTCCTTCCTCTCTCCTTGGTCTCCTCAGAAGCCACAGGCTCCAGTTAGTTCCCTTGTGGGGCACTCTCAACAGTCATACCCAGTCCCAAAACTTCATCACCATTTCCCACAAGCTACCTTGAACCTTTTGTCCTGAAGAACCTTCTTGATGGCCACCAGTTCCCTGGTCTCTGCCAGCCGTGCCTGGTACACGACCCCAAATGAACCATTGCCAATCACTTTGATGTCTGTGTAAGCCACCTCTTGGGAGCGCTCTGGGCCTTGACCTAAGGTGGCTACTACTGTGGTCACCTTCCCGCTGTCACCTGGAGAACAAAGGGGACACTTAATCCACTGGTCTTTGCCCTCTGGCCACCACCCTATCCCAGGGCTGTGGGAGGTAGGACAGCTCTGCAAAAAGGTCATGGGTTGGGGGTTGCTTAGGTATAAGACCCTGGATTTGATTCCTAGTCAGTGGGGTAGGAGGAGTGGGCTGAAGAGAAGGGGGCTTCTTTGTCTCTTCCCCATCTCTGAGCAAAGGTGGCTGCCTAGGTCTCACCTCCCCCCAGTGACCTGGAGCTTCCCTCAGGGAGCACTAAATCCTGCCTTTTTCCATATGGTAGGACACCCAAACCTCTTTGCCATTCAACAATTAGCAGTCCCCACTGGACAGGCAATGATGGCTCATGCTTGTAATCCTAGCTACTCAGGAGGCAGAGATCAGGAGGATAATGGTTCAAAGCCAGCCCAGGCAAATAGGTCACAAGACCCTATCTCAAAAAAACCCATCACAAAAAGGGCTGGTGGAGTGGCTCAAGGTGTAGGCCCTCAGTTCAAACCCCAGTATTGCCAAAAAAAAAAAAAGAATAGAAAAGAAAAGAAAAATCCCAATTTCCACTTCTAGGAAGCAGCAAGTCCTGCTACTGGGAGACACGAACACCCTCAGGTATTAAATCCATCTGTTCTGGGCCTGTGGCCTTTGGCCCCTCCTGTAGGGCAGGCCTCACCTACCACCTTCTACTGAAGGAAGCAGTGGGCCTGGGGTGCCCCTACTCTTGTATGCAGGAGCCAGTCTCACAACCTGGTAACTTCACCACTGCTTGTGCAGAAAATCAATGTGCTCTCCTGGTACCAGTACTAGTACCCAGACCCTCACCTTTCAGGGAAAGTCACTTTTACCCAAATACTTTGCATTACAAAAGGCACTGACCTGACCTCTTCACCTGTGTAGCCCAGAGCAGTGCCAAATGCGAAAATAGGGAGCCTAATTTCTGTCCTCACCAGGTTGTGGAGGAAAGCTCCAATTCCCAGTTCCCAGTCTCTGAATGGAGCAAACCTTGGTGCCATTCCCAGGGGACAGTGACCCCTTTCCTTGGGGAAAGTGATGAACCAAATCCACTTTAGGGGCCAGTACTACCTTCTTTTGAAGGAAGACAACCCTGCGCTGCTATTTTTTTCAAAGCCAATGGCACCACACCCCAGAATTATTAAAGTAGAACCTCAGATGCATATTCTATGGGGAGTTAGGACCCACTCGCCCCCACATTCCATTTTTGCTAAAGGAGTCCCCCCAAGCCCTTTTTTTTTTTTTTTTTAAAAGAATGACAGTTGAGGGATATGCTGACTCCCAATCTGTCCTTATTTCTAAGTAGCAGTAACTATAATTGCCACCATTGGAGGTATAGCTCCATATATTTTGGGTGGGTAATGACGTCAGACCTTATGTTTAAAACCTGTCCCTGTTCTTTGGACACAGACATCCCCACTTCTAAGAGATATTCAGTTCAAATCCCCATCCTCTCAAAGAGAGAAAATGCAGAAACCAACCAACCCCCGCCCCCCTTTCTGTGGAGATATTACTGGTCTGTTGGAGGACAATAATCCTAGATCCTCATGCACAAGTGACTATGACCTCTGATCTTGTTCTTTAATGGATGGCAATGTCAGATCTGTTTTTAAGGCTTAAGGACCTCAAGACCTTGGTACTTTAAGAATAGTGACCTGTGACCCCTGTTACTGAGTGTCAGTAATTCTGATCCTAAACTCCGAGATGTTATCCACCTAACTCCTTTCTCTGGAAGAGAGGTCAGATCCCAGTTTGGGGAGGCACAGTGACCTCGAGCTCCTATCTGGGCATATGAAAGAACGTGAGCAACGTTTGAGAATCTTGGAGAACCCAGATCACCACCCCACACCGGCGCCCCTAGTACTCACGGCCCAGCTTCACTCCGGGCGGCGGGAAGCTAGTGCCCGCGCCGGGGCCGCCGCTGCCTCCTCCGCCGCTGCCGCTGGGGCCACCCCCGGAGCTCGAGGCTCCCACGCCCCCACCCATGGCCCCGACTGACGCCTTCCCGCCGCCGGTGCCCCCTGGGCCAGAGGCCGAGCCCCCGGGGCCGCCGCCACCGCCTCCGCCTCCGCCGCCTGGCTCAGCGAATGAGCTGGTCCGCGCCCGGCCCGAGCCCCCAGGGCCGCCTCCCGAAGGCCCGCCGCCGCTCATGGCGCCGAGCGCAGGCCCAGGCCACGGGGCTCGGGCTTCCCGGGCTGCCCCCGCCGCCGCCGCTGCCGCCGCCTCCCCCGGGTTCCGGCCTCTTCCAGGCCGCGCCGCTCCGGCTCCGGCTCCGGCCCAGCGCCCGCCGCGGGGCACCCCGGGAGATGCAGTCCTCCTGTCGTCCGCGCCGTCGTCGCCGCCCTCGGCCCACACTGAGGCCGCGTGGCAGGCCGGGAAATGGAGTCCGCAAAGGTCTCAGAGTAGCAGGCAGGGATGGAGGTTCGCGCTGCACGTCGGGAAATAGAGTACTGGGTAACATCAGACGACTGTGTCGAAGACAGAGCCTGAAGCACTTTGGAAAAGTCACAGCCGCACGCTCACCTCCACTTCGGCAACAGAGAGTCCCTAAGTGTACCTCAAAAATGTAGTCTCAGCCACTCCATCCCTGAGCTGTCTAGGCCTGATGCATGCCGGGAAACAGAGCCCAGTCGCTCATTTAGTCTATTGGCTGTAGGTAACTCCCGGAGCCAGGTGCCCTCTGGGAAATCGAGTCAGCGCCTGTCAACCCTCAGCTCTCCGGCAGTGAGGCAAGCCGGGAAATGGACTTGTCGCCACGCCCTCGCCGCATTGCAGGTGTAAAGCGGTTTTTCAAAGCACGCCGGGAAATGAAGTCCTAGGTGGTCCTTAAGCCCCCAAGTAGATGTTGCAGTTCTAGAGATAGGCTGGGAAATGGAGGCACAGCTTTCTTCTGTGTATGCTGAACCGCATTCCCTGCCGGGAAGTGTAGTCAACACCATGGCTTCAGCGCTGTTATGAGCCCTGGTATCTTCTGGGAAATGAAGTTCAAGGCCGCCTCCTCATTGACTTAGGTAGGAGGCGGGATCTACCAGAAACCTGAAGTATGCTGGAAGTAGCACAAAGTGGATCCTGATCCTTTGTAAGGCCAGGCTCAGAGGCTCTCTGGGAGGTGGAGTCCAAACAGGTACCATCGGTAGCGAGTGGGCGAAAGGTTAAGGACGGCAGTTCGCGAGAGAGACTGCAAAGTGTTTCAGTGCTTCCTCCCTGACCCCAAGTTCCTAAGCATGAACCATTAGTGACTGCTAGAAAAAGGAGTCCAAGCGCCTTTAAGTTCCAGATGACCACATATCTGGAATGAAAAAAAACCCGCCCCCTCCCGGTCCCCGCAAAGATTTGGGAAACAAAGTTCCTAGTGGTGTCTCAGAGCAATTGTCTTCGGAAAGTCTACCTTTTTCTAGCAATGTGGATAGTTCCAGGAAACTGGGCTGAACATAAAACAGTCCACTCAGCTTTTTGCTTCCTTTCGTTTCCTAAACTACAGGATACTGGAATGCACAAACGAAAGTAGTCCAACGCAAGAAGCAGTCTTGAGTTTTATGCGCGCATCGTCGCCCCCATTTATTTATAAATAACCGGAAGAAGCGTAACCCTAAAGGACGCTGGGAAACAGAGTTCCTGCGTGTGTCCCTCCCCCGGAAATGCTTAGGACTGAAATGAAAGCGCTCTCAGCCCCTCCTCCAAAGTGGTAGGAAATGGAATTTCTGGGCTTCACTTTAATTCGAACGTGTGTTCGTACTAACGTCCCTGGCCATTCTGAATCTTAAAGTTCTGTCGATCTGTCTGTTCCTGACTGCTGTTCTCAGCAGACACAGAACGGTGACAGGCGATAAAGCTAAAGCCTGTAGGGACTACACTATCCAGAAGGCAAAGCGCGGATACTCGCCTGCGTGTTCCCCACGCACGGGTAGGAGCGGGTATTTCTGGTACCTGTAGTTGGCCAGCCAAATGGTAGCTGCTGCCCTCTGACGGCAGCCCTGAGTTGAAAAGTAAAATTTTGATTTAAGCCCCTGGCATGGGGAACCCAGAGGGGACTAAGAAGGCTTTCAAGAGCGGTAGAGCAAGGCAGAATAGCGGCGTTTACTTAAACGCCAGAAACTGTAAGACATACTTAGTGGACAACCGGTACAAAGGAATTGGGGGTCCGTGGGGGTTTAGAGCAAAAGTCTGAGGAAATCTAATACGGTGTTTGAAAGGGGTGAGAGTGATGGTCGGGGAAGGGCTTGTGTGTTGTTGAGCCTGCCCAGCGGTGGATGCAGCCATGTACCAGGCAGCCCAACCTTGACCTAAAGTAAATTCCAAGAATCCTTCTGGGGATTTAAATTTACAGTGACAGGTGTGAGCGTTCTAGCAGCAGTTTTGATATTCATGTATGATACTGCAGTCAGTCCCTAAAAAGAAAAATAGGGGTGTGTGTGAGAGAGAGAGAAAGAGAGAGAGAGAACGTTGGTGGACGGGTACACAGAGGGGTTCTAAGTGTCTAGGAGGGACCTATGTTGTCTGGAGGTGACTACAGGCCCCTGAGAACAGTTATTGGGGACAAGGGGAGAAAAGTATGAGGGAAGTTACGATGTCTGTAAGAGCTGTGTGGGTGACTGAGAAATTACCGGTGACCAAGCAACCTGAAAGGGTGAGGGAAAGCTGAGAAACACCAGGAAGGCTTTCAGGTTCTGTGTAGGTGCTGGGGAAGGGGTGGGGGCTCTATAGGTACAAAGAGGAGGGGGGGGTCTCTGTTGAGGTGAATTAATCTGCAAACTGTCCTGAGAGATCAATGAAGGTCTTTCTGCTTGGAAGCAAGGGTCCCAGAGAAAATGGACAGGGCCAAGGGTGTCCTGCAGGTACATTTCAGGTCTGCACATGGATTTCAGTGGGTGATTAAAGATACAGGGTAACCACTGCGGTTTTCAAGACCAAATGCCACCTGTGACATCCCACACAGCCAGAATCTGGGGCAACGAGTTTGGAGTTTGGTTGGACAGTAGTTTGGCTAGGAAAGTGGTTCTGGAGCTGAGCACTTAGGAACCACGTGGTTAGAGGTGCTTTGAGGGCACTGGGGTTGGCCTGAGGCTACTAGCTGGGGTCTGCTTCCCTCCTGCCAGTGACGACATCTGCCTTTCTCCATCACTCCACCAGCAACTCAGCTGCATCTATGTTGCCAGGAGATATGCCTCATCCCAACTTCCAGAAATAGCCCAGTGGTCCCCACCCCAGGGAATGGCTTACATCACCCAGGAGAGGGAGCAGTTGCTTGCAGTCCGCCACAGGAGCCTCGGTTTCCTGCCAGTACCCCAGCCCTGGATCTCTTTTCTGCCAAGTGACAGTCATCTGGGACCACCCACCCTGGACTGGCATCAGCTGAGGTTTAAATGAGTGGGTAGCAATTGACAGTCAATGTTCCTTCCCCCTCAGGGTTGTGCAGGGTGGGGTCTCCTTGGTGAAGCCAGTCCAACAGGCCCTGAGCTGCCAATTCCCATTGCATTTCCTGGCAGCTGAGTGACCTTGGGGAAACCCCTTCCCCTCTCTGGGCCTCAAGCATCTCACCTGCACTGCCTGGACTAGGCTTGTCTCTGCGGGCAATCCCAGCCTGAATTCCTCCTGCTTCTCTCCTGGACTCAACTGTCCAATCTGGGTTTCTAATTTACAAGCTCAGCTCTCAGACTTATCTCAATCCAGCCATCTTGGCTTTAGGGAGGAAAATTCAGTTGTTTAAAGAACATGGGGTTTGCAGGTAAGTTCAGGCTCAGCTTTAGGGCACTAGACAGGTCATTTAACTGATCCAGTGGTGCTGCTAAGTAAGTACTTAGCACACAGTAAGTCAATCTGTACTCCCTAACATTAGAGAGCAAGGCCTCCCTAACTTGCTGGCTGCAGGTGGTACCGTGGTTAGACATTTCAACAGATAACCAAAGGCCTCCCAGCTTCACTCTGAGCACCCCAAAAGGTATGGGCTGGGTACTAGAAGAAAGGGGGGGAGGGGTCTTGAGGGTGTGGCTTGGACATCAGATGAGATTTCAGGCCTTGTGAGTAGCAAGGGCAATGGGGTGGTGGGGGAACTTCCAAAAACCAGATCATGAAATGGGGGAGCAATGGAATGCAGGGCTGGATAAGCTCAGACCTTAGTCACCACAGGCTTCGAGGTTGACACCCAACAGTAGGAGATAGCTCAGTAGGGCTGGATTTAAACCAGACAGGGTTAGGCCCTCTGGCCACAAAGGAGGGAGGGCAGTCTAGACCTGTCCAAAATGTGGCTGCACCCTGCACAGATCACCACGTGCAAAGGTCCAAAGTTTTATTGTTTTGAATACATTCTCCAGTGGCCCCCTACCTCCCTCCCCCACCCTTCATCCCCAATACAGAATAAGGCTTGACCACAGCCCCCCCCCCCAGCCCACCCCAGGGGCCCCAGCTGGGAGGCAGAGGGAGCTTCCAGTTTGGTTTCAGGGCACCCCCTTACCATGTCCCCCCACCCACCTGCCCATGGGCCAGTCCTAGGAGCAGCAAGGGATGGAAGGGTTGGACAGGTGCTGGGGTGGGGAGTGGAGAGCAGGCACTTGTAGATTTGGGGCCCATGGGTGACACCCCTCACCCTCCTCCGCCCCCCAACCCCCACACAAAGGAATTTTTGGTTCATCATAAAATTGTCCCTCCCTCCCCTGCTGTAACCTTGTGGGGTACGAAAAACCCAGGCACTCACAGCCCCTGGAGGGGCAAGAAAGGCAGGGTTGGGGCTGGAGGGGGAGGGTACAACAGGGAGGGAGAAAAGGCTTTCCTTCCTACGATTGTAATAAAAAATTTCCTGGGTATTAAGGCCAAAGCCTCAGTTCAAATAGAAATCCCCAGAATGGAGGTGGCCCTCCTAATGCCCCCCTCCCCCCACCACCACTTTGCCTGGAGTTTAGAAACCCACAGGAATGGGGACAGCCCCCCAGCCCTGGGCAGCCCCCCACCATTAAAAAAAAAATTAAACTTTTATACAAAATGTGGGGAGGGGAAAGGGAGGAGGCGGGGGGGAGACTAGAGAGCTGCCCTCACCTCCAGGGCTTTGGAGAGGGGTTAAGGCAGCAAAAGAAGCATGGGGAGTGGGGAGGGCTCATGGGCCCCCTGCCCACAGCTCTCAGGAGTCTCGATGCTCCAAGGAGAGCTGGGCTGTGGCGTGCTGGAGATCAGAGCTCACCCGCCTTGGGGTGAGAGGCCCTCCAGCCTCCCCAGGCCCCTCACCACGCACCTTCTTGTCCTCACCCTCATCCTCAAGGCCCCCAGTAGGAACCCCACCCCCCTCCAGGCGACAGTCTTCACTCCAGCGCCGCTTAAAGCGCAGCTTGAGGGGCATGCACTGGGCTGCCCCAGAGGCCTCGCCAGGCTCAGGCTTGGGGGGTGCAGGTGGGGCACGTGGTGTCTTGAACACCTCCCCATCTTCCTCATCCTCATCACTGATGTCAGTCACCTCCACCTCCTCGGACTCGCCTTCCGAGATGGGCTCCACCTTGATCTGGGGTGGCGGTGGCGGGGGAGCCAAAGCGCCTGCCCCCTCAGCCAGCCCGCCTGGGCCACTGCCACTGGCACCAATGCCACTGCTCTTATCAGTGCCTCCAGGGGCCTTCTCCCCAGCTGCCCGCTGCCGGCGTCCTAGTGGAGGCGGCTGCAGCTTAAATTTGAATGGGGAAGAAGAGGAAGAAGAGGACGAGGAGGCCGAGGAGGGGACTGGTGGGGTCTCAGGTGCCATGGGTGGCAGCGGGCACTTGTCAGGGCGCTGGGGCTGGGGCACCACCAGCCCAGGGTAGTGCAGGAAGGCGCGGGGGCTGAGGTGGTAGTTGTAGACGCTCTGAGTGTGGGCCTGCAGGTACCGTTTCATGTCCTCAGGGCTGAAGGAGAAGTGGGAGCCTCCCCCTGAGCCGCTGGGGCCTCCGCCACCACTGGGGTACATAGGGCTCAGCGTGGGTGAGGGTGTGTAGGCCAGGTGTGTGGGCGTCATGGGCAGAGCTGGGGAGAGCTGAGGGGGTAGCAGGGAGCCAGGCCCAGCCAGAGGTGACACAGGGAAGGGACTGAGGGGCTCGGGGCCACCCCGGGGCCGGGGGTAGACACGGAAGACACCAGGGTCATGGGGCAGGCGGGCCAGTGGAGGCCCTCGGAAGGCACCCAGCTCCGGGGGGCCAGGTGGTCGTGCCCGGGGGTCCTCTCCCAGTGGCTCCTCCAGCTCTGATGTGCCATCACTACAGTCACTGACTGAGCCACGGCCCAGACGGCGTGCTACTACTGCCGAGAAGAGGGAGGAGGATGAAGAAGAGCAGGCCGGCGGTGAGCGGGGGTCCTCGGTGGGGGACAGCACCTCGGAGGGCGTTGAGGGAGGGAAGCGGAAGTGGCTGCCACCTGATGGCACTGGAGGGGCGCTCTGGGGCACTGCACCCCCTGATGGGAGAGAAGAGACTGGGTGTCAAGGCCCCTGGGCTAGCCTGGCCAGACAAACCTTCCCCTCCATCTATGGCCACACCTCCCCACACTCACCAGCCAAGCCCACATCGATGAAAGGGTAATTAACCAGCACCAGTTTGTTGAAGTTGAACTTGTAGGTGAACCGTTTCCCCTTGGTCTTGTGCAGAATGCGTTTGTTGTAATAATAGCTGTGGGTATAGACACACCATTAGGCCATGAGTCCACACTCCCCCATCCCCAGACTCCATACCTTGACCTACCTGCTCACAAAGGGCACCCAAGAACCAGAGACCACATTAGAGAAATGAAGTACCCAAAGGCTGGGGACCAGACTTGTGGCTCCAGGGATGACTATATTCTCTCTCCAGAACACCTCTGGGTTACCCATGGCCTCAAAGAAAGGCAAGGACTTGCCCAAAGTCACACTGCTAGGATCTGGTAGATCTGAGAATCAAACCCAAAGCCTGTTCCCATGGGTCATAGGCTTCCCAACCCCAAGCGCTGTCCCACGTTCTCACCGCAGGGCCCGGCTCAGCTTGTCATAATTCATCTGGGGTTTGCACTTGCGGACTCCCCAGAGCCTGGCCACCTCGTCAGGGTCCTTGATGACGAATTCCCCGTAGTCCCCCTGCCAGGCAATGACGCCCTGGTACTCCTCCTTTCGCAGCAGCTCCAGGATAAAGTGCCACAGCTGAATCTGCCTCGAGCCAGGGGACGACTCCGGCTTGTAGGCCCAATCCGGGAAGGCAAACCCTAGGGATGGGACAGGGAGTGGTCTAGAGTCAGGACGCCAAGTAGGGGGCTCTGGGTCACATCCCAGGGTCCACCTCCTGCCCAGCACTCATCTTGGGTAAATCCCTCTCCCCTCAGTTAAGTGAAGACCTGAATAGAGGGAGACAGTATGTGTCTGTCTGTATGAGGGGGCTAGACAGGAGCTGGGGGGAGGGGAAGCTGGAGCCTGCTCCGGCAACACCGGGAGAAACAGGAAACCACCGTCGGCGGCGGGTCCCGGGGCCAGTGCCAGGGGGCCAGGCAGCAAGCCAGGATGGCGGGCAGGGCTGCCAGTGGGGGAGGGGCAGGAAAGGGCACACGTGGCCAGCAGAATGGGGGCATAGCCCCCTCAGCCCACCCCCACTCCCATTCAGAACCAGTAGTACCCCGCAGCTCTCTGGTCCCCTCCTTAGGAAAACCTATTACCTACACTCCAAAACCTATCAGAGCCCCTACTCCCACCCCAGCAAGGGAAAGGAAGATTTTTTTTTTTTCTTAAAAGGACCAGAAGGGGTGGAGTGGCTGGTTGACGATGAGGTCAGCGCTTGCACACACAGAGGCTTCTGTCTTCCCTGGAGAGTGAAACCCAGACTGTCTGAGAGCCCCCCCCCCCCGCACCCCCAGCACTGGACCCTCTGAGTTACACTGCCCTCCCTGGGCCCAGCCTCTGGCCTGACCTGACTGGAGAGCCACCACCCAGGCCTGGCCTGAGCAGGACACAGGAGCTGGAGCTGTCGCCCTCTTCCCACTTCTGCCTTCTCATCCTCAGCTGCTTCCCTGCCCACCTGCCTGCCCACCCCCAGCATTAACCTTGGGTAGAGGTTGGTGGTGGGCTGGCTGGTCCCTGGAGGGGGTGGGCAGCCTGGGGTGGGGGGCTGTGGTTGTTGTCATTTCCCAAACCCCCGGGTAATCAGGGCCCATCAATAATTCAGTACCAGGCAGCCGGTAATGGAGGGGTGGGAGGAGGGAACGGGAAGAAGAGAAGGAGGGGGGAGGCAGGGCAGGGGCCATGGTGCCACTAGAGAGAGAAGGCCAAGGTGGATGGCTAAAAATGGGTGGGGTCCCAAGCCCTAGCCAGGCTGAAGGGGTCTGTCTCCTTTGGCCCAGTGCAAGCAGGCACCATGCAGGCCTCCAGGCAAGACTGGACCTCCCCCAAAACTCCACCCCAAGTCCAGAATCCAACCAGGGATCCTTTTCCTTTCAAACACAAGAGATCAGTAGTTCCTGCCCCCACAGGGACCACCTCCTCCAAAAGCAGAGCTCCCTCAGTCTGACAGGGACCCAAGCCCCCTAGCCCTGGCAAGACTTATGTGGTAACACACTCCCCTCCACACCTCCTCAGGACACTGTCCAGAAATCCCAGGCTCAAAACCAGCCCCTCAGGACTGCAGAACATGACCTCCCAGTTGTTCAGGCCCAGAGTCCTGCTAAGCAGCCTGGTCCACTTAGCAGACAGCCTCTTCCAAAGGACCCCACCATCCGCAGCCCTGTCCCTGTCTTGGGAATCCAGGTGTTCAAGCCATCATCTCATTCTGCTAGAGAATGGAGGTCACAGGGTCTCCCTTGGGGCACAGGGGTCTTTGGGAACACATGTGGCCAAGCCACCAGTTCAGTATACCCTGAACCTCTTTCAAAAAGCTTCTGGCGCCCCTCAGGGCAGCCAGCTCCTTGCTACTCCCAGCTCAGCACCAATCTGGCACCCAGACCTAGAGGGGGGCTGAAGCCCCTGAGACATCAGTCTGGGGGTGGAGAGGTATACTGACTTCTACCCTCCCCCCAAAATTAAAGCCACCCTTCCCAGCCCACCCGCCCCAGCCTCCGTGTCCCGGTAACCAGGCAACGTGTGTGCAGCGACAGTCCTGGGAGCGGGGGAGCAGGAGGCTAAAAATAAACTTTGCAGAAGAGAGGGAGTGAGAGAGACTACATGCAACACAAAGGGAACTCGGAAAGGAGGTGGGGGGGCTCTGGAAAGGCCTCAAGCCACATTCTGGGAGCTGTCCCAGGCCCCCGTGTTAGCCCCCTTCCCTAAGCAATAATCCACCCCACCCCACGCCAGGGCCTGGACCCTTGCTGCCACTCCTGGCAGGGACCCTTCCCCACGCCCAGGCCCACACCAACACCGGCTTTCCTCATCGGACACAGCATACACGAGGGCCTGTTCCCCGCTTTGGGGGGGAGAGTGAAAGGGGGTGACGTCAGGGTGTCTCAATGGGGCTCTGTTCCCCAGGCCTTGGAGCCAGGAGCCAGGCACGGGCAAGGGGAGCATGTGTGAGTGTGTTGTATATGGGTCCACGTGCTTAAATCAGGGAAACACCAGCCTACAACCAAGAAAGCTGCAGATGCAGGTCCTCTCCAGTATGGGATCCAGTGAGACAGGGAGAGGGAGAGCAGCTGCACAGAGAGAGGGGTTTGGGAAATGCAGACAGGGATAGGTGGCAGCAGACAGACAGGAAGGGCTGGGATGGCTGGGTCCCAGAAGGCACACCTGGATCCCACAGAGCTGGGCAAGGGAATCTCCCTGACTGTGCAGGCCTGGGTGGGGAGCAGAACTCCTTGGCACCCCCCAACTCCATGTGACTACCCAAACTTTTTTAAGGGACTAAGGGGGTCGGAAGGGATGGGTGGTGGCAGAGGAAGAACACGCCGGCCAACCTCCCGGGGGGCCTCCCCACCTCCCCCACTCCAGGCAGCCCTCCATGGCGCCAGAGCCTGGAAGAAAACAGGAAGTGGGAAACAGCCATGGCAGACGAGAAAAGAGCCGGATGAAGAATCGGATGGAGGGGCGCGGGGTGGCCGGCAGTCGGAAACACACACCGATGGAAGCCATTTGGAGTACCACCCCCCGCCCCCTCCCCCGCCGCCACCGCGTCTCCCCCAGCCAGAGACTACACAAGACTCGGGCCCCAGACTGAGTTGGGGGAGCAACACAGCCAGTCCCATCAAGCCAAGGCCCACAGCAGAGAGGAAGGACGAACGGGGTTTGTCAGGACACCTCGGCCCCCTCCCCGGGCAAGGGAAGGCTCCTGTTGCCCCAGGGCCCAGTGATCGGGAGCCTGTGGGAGCCCGGGAGTATGTGGGACGCACGTGACTGACCCTACGGCACTCGGCACCCCTGCCCCACCCCCGCCCCCTCCACGGCCCCAATCCCCTGGCGCCGGAGCCCCGTTCGGAGCCCTTTAAGAAGAGCCGCCCCCACCCGCCGAGCAAGGGGTGGGGTGGGTGGGCCGGTCGGGGCACACACCCGCACACAGGAGCCCTAGCCGCGGCCGCCGCCGGGGGAAGGAAACAAGTTTGAACAGCGGCGCCCGGCCCCCTTCCCCCTCCCCCGTCCCCGCCCCGGGCCGGATTCCGACAGGGTAGACGGGCAGGGGGCGGCGAGGACCCCTCCCCCCGCGCGCTCAGGCGCAAAGTCCAGCCCGCGGAGCCCCGGGGGCGGCGGGGGAGGGGACAGGGGAAAGTCCGAGTGGGAGGGGGGTTAATCCCGCTGCCCCCCGCCCGCCAACCGAGGGGGGGAGGGGAACCTTGGCCCCTTAAGGAGGAGCAAGTTGGCGGGGAAGAGAGGGGCGGAGGAAAAAGACGGCCCGTTGAAACAGAAGAGCTGGATCGCAGACGGGGGACGAGGGGGGAGACTCGGCGTCCCCCCCATCTTCCCCACCTTCCTCAACTCCCGGCCTCCGGCGGCGCGGGAGGAGGGTACCCAGGTCTCCCCGGAGCCACCTTAAAGCCGCGCGTTCTAAGGTCGGAAACAAAAAGTTCCTTTTTCGAACGTTCGGGCTGCGCTTTGGAACTTTGCGACTCGGTGCGGGCGGGGGAGCGAGGAGCCGGCGGAGACGGGCGGGGGAGGGGCACTGCAGCCTGGACCCCGAGTCCCGGGCTCCCTACTCACGCCCTCCTACAAACCATCCGTATCCCCCCCGCCAAACCCGGTGAGGGGCACGCGCCGCCGTGAAGGTCACGGGCCGGACCGCGCAGCGCAGAACCGGGATAGCGGGCCCCCATACAGAACCTCCCCCCGCCCCGCACACGTCCCGGCCCCCAGAGTGCAACGTGACAGAGCGGCAGGGAGGGACCCTGCCACCCCGTGATCCCAAGAGTGGGGGGGAGAGCCTAGCATGCGGGGTCCGGGCAGGGAGCGAAGACCAAGACCCGCAGCACCCACACCACTCAGAAAAGAGCCATGATTTGGGGTCCCAGGCAGCATCCCCCTCTCGCGCCGCGAGAAGCAACAGGTCTCAAGTGTTAGGGGGGTCCCCCAGAACTGGGGATCACTCAGGCTTCCCTAGACCCCTTCAGCCCCCCCCAAAGTTTTTCCGCCAGGTTTCCCTGGGCAACAAGTCTCCCCCACACGTGCTGCCCCCGCCCCCACCTGTGTCCGCCGGGGTCTTCATGCTGTGGGGCCCGGGGCAAGGCGCCCCGACTCCGGGCCGTGGCTCCCGGCGCTCGCGCTGCCCCGTCCCGTCCCGCGCCCGTCGGGCCGCCCTCGCCGCCTCACCCGGCCTCGCCTCTCAAGAGCCTCTCCCCTCCCCGCCGCCGCCTCCCGGGTTAATATCGCACTCCGGGGCCGGGACGCCCACGCCCCCCGGCCGGCGACGTCACCGCCGCGTCGCCATGGAGACACTGCGCCCGCCCCCTCCCAGCGCACTCACACACACGCCCGCCGGCGCGCAGCCACTGAGGATCGGCCGGCTCTGGGCTTAAAGGGGCCGCGCGGCGGGGGAGGGTGGAAGAAGAGGGCGGAGAGGAGATGAGGTCCTGGGGGTCACGACCCTTCTCAGAGGCTCCAAGTCTAAAGATAACTTTAAGTCTTCAGTATTCGCTACCTGCTGGCTCTCCTTTCCTGTCCACTGAGGGCTCCAGAGTTTCTTTTGGGAGCTTTGGAGGAAAAGGACCGGGGGGGGGGAATCATAAATTATTCTGGGGAAGGGGCATTGGCCTTTGGGGAATGGGCAGAATCCTCTCTTGGGGGGGCGGAGTCCGGAGCTTGGAGGATGATCAAGAACACAGCCATTTCCCAGCCAGGATTTACCCAGCCCCCTCAACCCTGTGTCTGAAAGGGGGCAGCTGTCCAGGGGTGGGGTGGAATGGATGGGAAGCATTTTCCAGCATCGGAAATGGGGAGGCGGCTGTGTCCTCCGCTCCTGTGGGGATGGGGTCTTGGCCTTCCTGATAGACCCAGTCCCGCTGGGGAGGAAATGACCAGACAGTGCATTCAGGAGCCCCCACAACTACCATCCCAAGACTGCAGCTGTCCTGGGAACGCGCCGGAGGTACCCCCACCTCCACCACTAGGGCAGGGGGTTCCGGAGGTGGGACCAGGATGCAGGGGGCGGCCCAAGTATGAACAAATGTGCTCCCAAGGGTACTGGGGGTCGCCCGGAGAGAGGAAGACAGGGCTTAAGACCTGGGGCCGGAGCCTAGGGTAAGTAGTAAGTCTGTTCTCTGCAGCAGCTGGGAGGGAATGGATGGAGCCTGAGGTTGGAGAAACAGGAAATCAGAGTGCAGATCGGATACAGGCAGGCAGTCGGAGCGGGGTAGAGGGCAAATAGAACCAGTATTCACTGGCAGCGCCTAGGGAGAGTCTCAAAAATGACTCGAAGTTACCAAAGGAGGAGAGGACCGGGGGTGTGGGGGGAGACAAACCCAGAAGATAGACCTCCCTGGAGAGACAGACTAGTCAGAGGGAGGGAAGGCCTGCAGGGGTCAGGCTTCTAGCCCTGCCTCCTCTGTTGCTGGGTTCCTAGTGAGCCTTATACCATCTCCTCACCAATACCACAGAAAATTCTCAGGCCTCCTCCTTGGGGAGACCGAGCCCTCTAGGGAAGCGCCTTGGGGAGTTACGTAACCTTGCCTACGGACAGTGCAGCTCCCCCACGGATATTGTAACCCTCTGGGAGCAATGTGGTCCAGCAATAATAATCATCATTGTTAGAATAACAGCTCCCGATTCTGAGTGCTCACAATGTGCCAGGCGCTGAGCCAAGCATTGTCCAGACCATCTTCTCATTTAATCCTCACAAAATCCCAGTGAGGGGAGTTACTATTGTTACCCGCACTTACGGTTGAAGAAAATAAGGCTCTGATAGGGGAAATCAGTCAGCCAACAGATGTATAGCCAGACAGTTCTGGGATGGGGATTTGAACCCAGATCTATCCACTTCCAAACCCTTAACCATTATACTTCACTACCTCCTTCACTACTCTCTCCTTAAAAAAAAAAAAAGGATGCAAATTTTCAAAGATAATAGTAACCACCCCAAAGACTCCCACCCACAACCAGGCACTGGTGGCTCAGGCAAATAGTTCATGAGACCCTATCTCAAAAAAACCCATCAGAAAAAAAGGAGTGGCTCAAGGTATAGGCCCTGAGTTCAAACTCCAGTGCCACAAAAAAAAAAAAAAAGAAACCTAAGACAAGGCTGGCTGGTGGAGTGGCTCAAATGGTAGAGTGGTTATCTAGCAAGTATGAGGCCATGAATTCAAAACCCAGTCCCTCAAACAAAACAACAACAAAAAAAAAGAATGCTGGGCACTGGTGGCTCATGCTTGTAATTTTAGCTACTCAGGAGGCAGAGATCAGGAGGATCGTGATTCAAAGCCAGGGCCAGGCAAATAGTTCGTGACACCATATCTTGAAACAACTCAACACACACAAAAAGAAGAACTGGTGGAGTGACTTAAGGTGTAGGCCCTGAGTTCAAACCCCAGTATCACACACACAATCACAAAAAAAAATTCCCACCCATCTTCCCATTATCAAAGCAGAGATCTGGGTTGCAACCTTGACTTAGCTACCCCATCTGTGATACAGGGCAGGTGAGCTCACCTCTTTGAGCCTCAGTTTCTTCTATAAAATGCATGAAGGGCTATCAATAGATCCCACATAATAGGATTACTATGAGAGAAGGGATGTAAACTAAATACACAATAAATACTAGGCTTGGGGATGTGGCTCAAGTGGTAGAGCACTTGCCTAGTGAGCTCAAGGCCCTGGTTTCAGTCCCCAGTACCAAACACAGATGTATGTATGTGAGTGTGTGTGTGGGGGGGTGTATGTGTGTACACATATATATCTTGCATGTGCCAAATATTGCCCAGTGTTTGGGCTGGAGGTATAGTTCAGGGGTAGAGCCTGTGTTTGACATGAACAAGACCCTGTATTGCTTCCCCAGCACCAATAAGTTAATAAAAGAACTAATAATAATTATTAGCAGAGTGAACTGTATACTTCATAGATAATGTGAGAGTACCCCTTACCCTAAAGACTCCAACTATAGGTGACAAACACTATCATTGACAGTGTGAAATTGCTCATCAGTGTCATAATCCCACTTTGACCCAGTGGTCAGCTCAATACCACTGTTTCTGTGAAATACATCCATACCTTACAGGAGGGTCTGAACCACCTGCAGAGAATGGGGGTCCCTGGTGAAAAATGTCCCCAGGCCTTGTATCATCCATGGTTTTGCAAACCAGTCCATGGGTCTTGAAACCCCTCGGGGGGTTCTGTATGACTCCACCACAGAGCTGTGGAACCCCTTACCTAGCTTATTAGCTTCACAGACACTGAGCTCCAGACTCACAGATGGTATGATGGCAACCCCACCATAATTAGAATAAATACCCAGATAGTGTGAATTTGTGATGGAAACCATCAACAGTGAATCCTGGAAGACAGGCCATCCAACACAGGCCATTCAACTCAAATGAGAAAGAGCCTCCCCACCCCACCCCACCCCCATCATTTCACTATAGAGAGCCTCTACAGATACTGGGTGCAAAGACTCATGACACACCTGCAGTGATCAGTAAACAACTCTGCCCAGACAGTGAGGACAACCCACTCCCATGGCCCTGGTAGTCTTTGTTCCAACTTGCCTTCCGGACACAGATAACATTTATTCTAAGCTTGTCAAGCCTGTCTCCACAGAGGTCCCAACATTTCATGGACTTGGCATCTTACTCCTGAAAAAGAGTCATCATCACTAGGTACATGCCTGTAATCCTAGCATACAGGAGGCAGAGGCAGGAGGATCATGAGTTTCAGGTCAGCCTGGGCTAGATAGGGAGACCCTTTCTCAAACAAAAGAAACAAAAAGACCCAAGAACAGAGGCTGGGGGTGTGGCTCAGTGGTAGAGGGCTTGCTTAGCAAGTTCCCAAATTCCATCCCCAGCACCAGGCAAAAAAAAAAAAAAAAGACCCTAAGACCATTGTACTTTCCTTAACACTAGTGTGACCCTGCCCTTTATAGGCAGTGTAGCCACTGTGAATGTTATGGTGTCCCCTAAGCATAGGACAGAACCACACTGTACAGTACCACCTTTCTCATCTCTGTGACTGAGATGTGTAAGGTCCCGGGGCTCAGCCCAGGCCCTGGACTCCCCCTTCTACACTGAATCCTTGATGATCTCCATCCATCCCATGACAGAGACACCATCACCCAGCCGATCACAGCTACGTTGCTATTTCCAACCTGCAACTCTTCCTAGAGCCCCAACCTCACACATCTGTCTCACCAGTGTTGCCACTAGGATTTCTTAAGCTTGCCAAATCAGACAGGGTCTTCCTGAGCTCCCCCAAACGGGTCCCTGCTCCTCAATCTTCGCCATCTCAGGAAAACACAGCTGTATTTTGTGGGCTGCTCAGGTGAATACCTTGGAGTCATCCTGGTCTCTTTTTTCTTGTTTGACACCCAATCTGAAGGGAATGGTCTGGCTATGTTGCCCAGGCTGGCCTGGAACTCCCGGACTCAAGTGATCCTCCTGCTTCAGTCTCCTCAGTGGCTTGAGCTACAGGGCATGCTTCAGGCTGAAATCGGCTACTCTACCCACCCCCCAACCCAGCTTTGGTGGGACTGGGGTGTGAACTTTGTATTTGCAAAGCAGGTGCTTTACCACTTGAGCCACACCTGCAGTCCATTTTGTTCTGAGTATTTTGTAGATGGAGTTTCAAACTATTTCCCTAGGCTGGCCTCAAACTGCGATCCTCTTGATCTCAGCCTCCCAAGTAGCTAGGATTACATACATGAGCCGGGCTCAGCTACTCTTTATTATCACCACCCTCCCCCTGGCCTGAGGTCTCCTAGTTGACCTCCCTGTTGTCTCCAAAAGCCAGAAACGTTCCAGTAAATCAGATCACATTCCTTTCCTGCCAGAAACCCTCCAGTGGCCTCCACTACTCGCTGGGAGAAAAAGCTAACTCCTTGCAATGGCCTTTGAAGCCCAGCCCTCACCTCATCTCCTCTCTTCCTCTTCATTTCCACTCCATTGCCACTCGGCTGTCCAGACACTCAGACATGCCAGGCACAATCATGCCTCAGGGACTTGGCTTATACTGTTCCAACTGACAGAAAGGCTTTTCCCCAAGATATCTGTGTAGCTCTGTCCTTCATCTCCATCAGGCCTTCACTCACAAACCATCTCAGTAAGATCCTGTCTGACCCCTCCATTTTATTTTGTTTTATTCATTCATTCATTCATTCATTTTTTGTGGTACTGAGGATGAACATAGGGCCCTGTGCTTGCTAGGCGAACACGTATATCATTTGAG